ATCTTGAAGTGGTAATTGCAATTAAGTATATAGATTCATCAGGTAATTACCACGAGGTTATTGTCCAAGAGTGAAATTATAAAAATTATACGGTGACTGGGTGGCTCAGTTGGTTAAGCGACTGCCTTCGGCTCAGGTCATGATCCTGGAGTCCCGGGATCGAGTCCCGCATCGGGCTCCCTGCTCAGCAGGGTGTCTGCTTCTCCCTTGGACCCTCCCCTCTCTCATGCTCTCTCTCTCTATCTCATTCTCTCTCTCAAATAAATAAATAAAATCTTAAAAAAAATTATACGGTGACTGCTGAATCTGAGCATCTGCAGATGTGGCAAATAACAAAAGTTTTGAGAAAATTTAAAGGACACTGGACTCTTCAGGCTGTAAAGTGATCCAGGTTTGGAGGCATGAGATAACATGGTATAGCTGAAAGAACACGGTCTGTGTATTTGATGTGCCTGAATTCAGCATGATTTCGACACATTTACTGTGCTATGTGCTGGGAATACGATGGTGAGCAAGACAGACCTTTACAGAACTTGCAGAGGAGGCAATTAAGGAGCATACAAGAATTATAATGTAGAGATAAAGGTTACAAATAGGGGAAACACAGAATACTATGGAAGCACACAGGATGGTTCCTAATCCAATCGAGGGGCCTAAGGGAAGTCTTCCTGAAGGAAATGTTCCAAATAGAGGGCCCAGAACCGCGTGGTTAGAATACAGAATGAGGTTGTGCCTATAGTAATGAGGTTGGAGAACGGGCAGAAGCCTAATGGCTTACAAGCCATATTACGGAGTGTGGGCTAAAACCCAAAGGTATTGGATTTTAATGCAAGGGAAACAGATGAAGAGCTTTAAGCAGGAAAGTAGAAAGGATGGTGGTGACATGACCGATTGCATTCTAGAAAAAATCACTCTGGCTGCAATATTGTAGAATAGATTGGAAAATGGAAAGATTAAAAAGTATGAAGTTCAGGGGGCACCTGGGTGGTTCAGTCGTTAAGAGTCTGCCTTCGGCTCAGGTCATGATCCCAGGGTCCTGGGATGGGAGCCCCAAATCAGGCTCCCTGCTCCACAGGAAGCCTGCCTCTCCCTCTCCCTCTCCCACTCCCCCTGCTTGTTTTCCCTCTCTCACTGTGTCTCTGTCAAGTAAATAAAATCTTAAAAAAGAAAGTATGAAGTTCAGATATGTAGTTGCTAATCTATGATGATGATCGTCCAAGATAATGGTAACCTGTACTCAGGTAGTGGCAATGGAGATGATAAATGTGGATGGATTTGAGACAAGACACCATAATGTAAGGGGCGGCGAAGGAGATTAAGAGATAGCCAGAGAGGTAGGGAAAAACCAGGAATATGGTGTCATGTGGACCAAAATAAGAGTATTCCAAGAAAGAGTGCCAACGATGTTAAATACTGCTTCCAGGGCAAGGAAGATAAAGACTGAAAATATTTGTAAGATTTATAATCAAGGAAGTCCTTGGTGAAAGCAACCTCAGTGGCCTGGAAGCAGAGGCAGGGCAGAAGTATTGGTATGCAAATAGGCAAAATTTATTGTGGAAGCAGAAACCACCCAACCCTAGGAGTTCGGTGTGAGTCCGAGAATGGAGGATTTGTGGAGGAAGAGTCTTAAGCGGAGTATCAAGAACAAGCAGGAGCTAGCCCGGCAGAGAATGCCACGTGGACCATGCGCTACAGGTATTTTGGGGGTACTAAATGTAACCATGAGACTTTGGGTAGTTCCTTCACCCACTCACCTACAAAATGGGAACAGTAATATTGATAGTATTTATTTCACAGGATTGTTGAAGGCTAAAATAGTTTATGTTGAATACTGGGTACACATTAGGGACTCAATCAATGATAGCTTACTCCCCCACCCCTCATTAAAGCATCACAATGAAACAACACTTCAGATTTTAAAAAATGAATTTAATCTCTCTCTAGAAACAGTGCACTGATTTTACAAATGTTCACATTTGGTTTTTCGTTCACCAAGATGATGTCAGTATAGCTAGTGAGATGCAGCTTGCCACCCTCTGCTTCTGGAACAAAAACCAGACTGCAAAGGGCACTGAGTACAGAAGCTAACGAAACTCGGAATGACAAGACAAAAAGAGCAGAAACCGTCAGTGTGACCCAACATTCTAACATGCCTGTTACATCAAATACGGTCATTTGAGGGTGTTGGGGGGAAGACAGACAAGGAAAATTCATTTGGGTACAATGTGATGGAGTCTGCACACCAGTACTTCACCCCCAAATGAACAACAGCTGTACAGAACAAAATGCTACTTTAAAACACATGGTTTGTACAGGTATGTTTTCTCTTGTAATTTTTGTAAAAAAGTATCAAAACCTTCATGTTTTTAAATATATATATACATATACAGGTGGCTTTTTTTAAAGTTACTTTTTATAGCACAAAGTGTTTGCAAATGCAGAGGGTTTCTGCTGATTCTTGACTATGCACATGGTGCATAGCCTGAGTGAATAGCTTCCTGATTTCTTATATTAACTGAAAATTTGAAGCTGTAATTCCTCCACCTCTAAGTTCTCTGTCTCCTGAAAATCCCCAATACCTTGAAAATACAGTGTGAGGAGACTCCGATACTCTATCTTCATGCACTGATGGGAAAGGAAGTTATTTACTCTGAATGTTTTAATTCCTAACTCATTTATATTCTGTGAAATAGTACAGCTGGAGTTAGGGAGAGGAGTGAGGCTCACATTCCTGTGCTCTCTCCCGACTCCCACCAGCACCTGACTAGACAGTGCTTGGGATTCCCTCTGCAGGCTACCCATCTCCAAAATTTCATTTTCTTGGTGTTGAGAAAATCTCAGAGGCTCTTGACAACATGGAGTGCTTCTGTGAAAATCCCATTACCCTTATATTCAAAAAAAGGTCAACTCAAACATACGAAACACAGTCACTATTTCCCTTTGGCCACTGGAAAGCTGGAGGCTAAAGACTGTCATGTCTGCAAAGTGCTGGCGCTGCATCCTGATGAACTCTCCATGATGCCCTTGGTGCCTCGTACACAATAAATGACTAAGAAATGTTTGCATAATTGAAGCAGAAATTAAACACAAGTATTCTATAAAGTGCTTACATTGAACCTGTCTTTCCATTCAGCCTCATTTCTTGCTAAGTCCCCCTTGAGCCTTTTGCTCATTACAATGAATTACATGCAGTTCCTTCCAGTCCTCATGCTGTTTCATGTCTCCGTATCCTCCTCTGCCTGGGGGGCAGCCCGGACACTCCGACTTAGTTTTCAAGACTTAGTATAAGGTCACTTCCACAATGCCTTTCTTGACCCCATTCCTCATCTCCTTATGTAGAAATGACCTCTCTCTCCCTTTGTGCCTTAAGAGTACTCTGAAAAGAATCTATTCCTTTTTTGTTTCCACATGTCTTCCTCTACTGTTACAGTGAACTCTGTAAGGACAGAAAACACTTGAGTGACCTGTCCATCTGCAGTGCCCAGCATTTAGTTGGTACCTGGCAAATGGTTTCAGTGAATGGATATACTGCAATCAGAAAATTGGAAGGATCACAGTACTTATTGCCATAAATTTAATTCCGATCTCATCTTGAGGTTAAAGGTTACCTCAACCTATTTAATAAATAATCAGGCTATCAAGAGTAAATAAATAAAATTTTAGTTTTCTGTTTCTGGAAGGCTATTTCTACCAGCGTCTTCATAATTCCACTGAGAAGACAGGCCATTAGGTAGCAGGTTTGGTACAATGTTCAGGCAGCCCAAAGTAGTCTCCTAGAGAAGGAAAGGAAGGAAAAGGTTTGGGACCAGTTTCTTTTAAACGGAGAAAAAAAATGTCCGATAAATCTTCTACCCTCCTGGCATTATGTCTAGGTTTCCTTCTGGCTCTATAGTCCAATGACTCTATGATCTGTTATTGGCTGTAGATACATGACAGCACAGGGGCAAAAGGCAACAGAAATGCAATTACACCTCAAAATGAGGTTCAGAAGCCTCCAAGACTAGAGAGGGAGGATGGACGTGACCTCCTCAGATTTCATCTTATTGACTACCAGTGGACACGTGAGGACTCTGCAATTTGTCTTCCGTAGCTTGCTTCCATAGCCGCCTCTTCCAAACTGCAGCTGTAGCATATTCGGGAAACATGGATGTCTCTGAGAAAGCTGTGTTTCATCATCCTTTTGAGATCTCAGGCTGAACCATCCTGACTCCCATTTTTGTTTTGTTTTGTTTTTTTCTGGGAATGCCAGGATCTGACTGAAAGTTTAGAAACTACACATTAGTCACTGTTCTCATTTCCCCAGGGAATTCTATTTCTTTGGAGACGGGTCATAGAAAAAGTTGCTTGTTTTGTGTAAATCTCAATGTTTTTGTCATTTTTCTCCAGTCAAAAATAATTTTACTTTCCATTCTTGAAAGAATAGTAGTAAGTGATTAAGCTCCATAGGAGTTGGCCACCTGTTCTTAAAATCCTATTTGGTATTGGTCTTTAGGTCAATTGCCTCTCAGTGAATGTTTCAGGACTACAACACATGCATATCATGAGGAAATTGCTTGTTTATGCAGAGCATAGGGCCAAGGCTCCAGAACACAGTTGTTTTTCTCAGAAGTGAGGAGATCATGAGTGACGTTGAAGAAAGGTTCTAGGAGCAGGGTTATAGAACTCCCGAATGCCTGCCTGCAAATGTGAAGGGTATCAAGCTGGTGAGATATCCAAGCTTCATTGAGTTGGGGGCTGCTGAGGGGAGGGGTGTCAGAATTTGTTCAGTTTGTTCACATGTCTTGTCCCTGGCTGTCTGGTGGGAGTGAAGTGGCAGAACAGCAGACTTAAGATCAGATCTTGGAAGAGAGAGCTGGTGGGGACAGAATTCCTTCTGGGACCGTAGGATTACGTTTTCAATGGCAGACCCCACAAAGAGAAAAGAGCACTTCTCCCACCTCTCCCAACGCCCAGCAAAAACAAAGAAAAGTGTCCATAATGAAAAAAAAAATCTATACATATACCCAGAGTTTTTCCTTTTATTTACAAAGTAGTAAGCCAAATCCCTGTGTGAACATATATATCCAATATACGACAGTGTTGTAGATGCCATTTCCCCCTTTGTAGGACTTCAAGTTTGGCCACTTTTTCTGACTTCAGCCAAAAGCTACTTTCATCTAAATGAACACACGATGGTAGCAAGCCTATGTTGTTTCCCCCACTTACAAGAAATGGCAGAGAGGAAGGGAAAGGGAAAGGGAGAAATAGAGATGTAACAGAACCTATTCCACTGTCCTTACCCTCACCCACTGCATATCTCAGAGGTTCAGTGCCTGAGCCAGTCTCTACAGGAACCTTGGGCTGTTCTAGAAATGTCTCCACTTAGCTCTCCACGAGGATGGCACCCCAGGAGTGCTTCAGAGGAAACATAATGAATTCAACCTAAGCGTCCTGAAGGAAAAGGAAGTTACTTGAAATGCCGAACTTTAAAACAAGGAGCCAAGGTTCGGGTGTGTTCTTGCCTGAGCTCACGAGAACTTCTGGCACCATGTGAAGTCTGTGCACTGGCCTCAGACACAGAAGAGAAAGCCCGAGCGGGAGTCCCAGCAGCCACAGGTGAACTGAAAGGCTGTGCCTGACTGACTAGAGTCCCAGGAATTGCCAGAGGTGGAAAAGATCTGCCTCTTCCACTAGGTGTTTACACAAACCACAGCACCCATTTTTTTGAGCCGAATTTCCAAAGGCTTCTCTGAAAACTACAGATACCCCTCTGTGGACTGTTTCCCCATGTTTTTCTCTGTATGGATTCGAACAGCCCCAGGTGTGCCTCTTCTCTACAGATCTGTCTCTCTCACACACATACACATAGAAACGTAAACGCACACAGAGTCCGCATGGTGGGCCAATCATACCAAAAATAAATACTCTCGTGTCTCTAAATTATTTATAGAACTAATCTTATTTTTTGAAATATGCTAATAAATAATCTAAGTGGGGGAGGGAGTTGAAGTGTTTTCTCCTTTTTTTCACTTATGTTGATGGATAGCCACAAAGCATAATCATTTTATATACTAAAAAAAAAAGAAAAAAAAATCAAAACCCCAAACTCCAAAATCGAAAAAAGCTCCCCCCAAATCAAATACCCTCTGTAAATATAGTTTTAAAATGATGAGTAAGCTAGTGTACCATCAGCCCCATTTGGTTATGTACATCATGTTAGTCACTCAGCAGTAGCCATTCCATGAAATCCTCATGGGTAGTGCAACCAGTTAAAAAGTGTATAAAACATTATACATATAAAAACTCTCACATCCTTTGGATGTTTGCAGTTCATCATAACTTTGTGGTTACCTTTCCGCAACATAAATTAAAAAGAAATCTCTCTCTCTCTCTCTCTCTCTCTCTCTCACACACACACACACACACACACACACACACACACACACACAGACCCATATACAGAAACCCCTTCATCCAGGCATACACCATCCAGAGAGTGTAGTGCATGGGACTGAATTCCATGAGGCACGAAGGGAGTGGTCCCATCCTCAGGGCAGTCCATCATCTTCAAGGCTTAATGCCACTCGCTGGGGAGACAGAGCAAAGAAATCACCATTAGACCCGCAGGAGCTATTTACTGAGTCCCCACCAGGCAGCAGGCATTCTATGACTTTATAGGCATTAGCTCCCATAATCTTCATACTACCCCAAGAGACAGGTTTGTCATATTTATTTTACAGATGAGGAAACGGAGACTCAATGAGCTTTAACATTTGTCCTGGATCACATAGCAAGTGGGCGAACTAAAATTTGAACCCAGACCCGTGTGATTCCAGAGCTGTCGCTCTCTCCATCATTCTCTTCTGCCCCGTTGTCAAGGAGTGCTGGGGAGGTCTCAAGTTTCTCAGTCCTTCCTCGGAGGATTTTAGGTTTTTTCAACATTAGTGCGTTAGCTCTGGCAAATGTTTAATCCCAGGCCATTAGCTACTTGTCTCTAGCTTGTGAGTCACAATTAGGCAGGCGATCTGCCGCACCCCTCTTAACTGATTATACAGAATTGGAAGGCAATACAGGTCAATTAAATTCAATCCCTCTTTCCCTCAACCCTACTTTTTAGTCATTAGATGCTAGACTTCCCCTGTCACAAACGGCTGACTGTTAGTGGGCTGAGCCCATTAACCCCTGAGCTGGTCTATTCCATTGAAAGAGTGGACAGTGGACTTAACCTCTTTCCTCTACCGACAAGAAATCTCTTTCTCTAAATACTCTGATGTTCCCCGGTTCTCTCAGAGAGTTCTATACAGACAACCCTTGAAATCTGCAGACAGTGTCTGAGTTCCCTTCCTTTCTTTCGGAGTGTCTTCTCCTACAGGCTACACATATGGCTTTCCCCAAATGGGTCTGTTGTAATCCTGTTTCCCACTTTTCCATTTCCTGGGTACACTCCTTTGGGCAGACCCCGGTGTTTCAGTATCTTCCTCCTAGCTAAGTGAATTTGGGCTAACCACTTCACCTCTCTGAGCCGTGGTTTTTACCATCTGTCAGATGGGAGTAAGAACAGGACCTACCACATAGAGTTGTTGAGGAACCAAACGAGAGCATCTCTGTAGAGTGCTTAACACACGTGGGGTCCAGAGTATTCTAGATCAACCTGACCAGCATAATAAAATAGAACCAGACTAGCATTTCCCACCTGTGGACAGTCTACAGACAATAAAAAGTGACCCCACTACCTTTCAAATCATCTTTGGGTTATTTGTGGTTTTGCGTGAACGCCATGGCCTTGCTCTACTAGCACAGATACTTGAGACTCTCGTCTTCTAGCCCGGTTACCCTCCCTCTCTCTCCAAGACAGACCTCTAGACCAAAGGCAGTGATGCTGGAGCTACCTGAGGAAAGGGCAGCAGGGAGAACAGGTTGTTGAGCATACTGATTCTCAGAGCTCCCAGGCTATTTACCCCATGACGTAAGTGGAAAGAGCATGGACTTTTGTGTACGTACAGACTGGAGTGTTTGTCCTGGTTCTGTCACTTCTTAGTTGTGACCCTAGGCAAGTTACTCACATTCTCTATTCTCAGTTTCCTCATCTGCAAAATGGGGCTAATCATATCAACTTTATAAAGTTACTGTGAAGACTACACAAGGAAATGTACATAAAACACCGAGCAGTGTCTGACACACAGGAGGTTCTCACTAAACGTCCATTTCCTCCCTTTCCTACTCTATTTCTCTGCAGCCGGCAGGAGCTTATTCCTCGGGCCTTAGATACCTCAGGAATGGCTCCTCCAGACGGGTTATTTGCTCCTTGGGACACAACGCCACTTGACACGTGTACAGTGCTTTGTAACTCACAAAAGCTCTCACACGCGTGCTGTCTCACCTGAACGCTATGGATTTAGGAAGCAAATAGAATGGGGGTTATCATTCTTATTTTACAAATAGAAGTGAGCAGAGAGAAGTGACTAACGCCACAAGGCTACGGAGCAGTGAAACTGGGAGCCATCTCCTCAGGCTAAGCTCAACGCTTCTTCCACTGCCCCCCACCCCCAATCTGTAAAACTTGGTCAAGCACCTATTTGTGTGATTGGCCGAGGTTAAGTCTCAAGGCCATCTGCCAGCCCTCCTCACTTGCTCAACTTCACTTCCCATGCCTCCCCTTCATGAATAATGTGCTTCCATGGCAAGGCAGTCTGCTCTGCCCCATACTCGATCGTTTCTTCCTCAGGCCATTTCCTCGGTCTACAGTGAACTCATCTTTCCTCTTTGCCCCAACACCCAGCTTACAATTTGCAGCCTTCCAGGACCAGAATGCCTTCTAGGATTGGCTGCACCTGCCTAGGCTCACGCCCTCACTCACCAGCCCCTCAGACTCAAAGTGGCACTGCCCTACCTTGCACTTGACGACAGGCAGCTCGGAAAGAGGGTTCTTCGGGAGTTGGTGCAGCTGTGACCTTGGTTCCCCCGGCAAGACAAAAAGCTCCTTGAGGGCAGGGGCTGGGTCTTCCAGTTCTCTGGTCTCCCCAAGACAGGGCTCTGCCCACAGTGGGTGATCAAAGCTGCTGATTGCCTGACAGGGGGATGGACTGGATGACCTATGAGGTCACACTCAGCCCCCTGACTCTGCTGTATGACCATGACATCTGCTCCAGACACTTTGGCGGTCCTTGCTCCCCCAACAAGCCAGGCCCTATTGTACCCCTCAGCCTTTGCACCTGCTTCTTTCTGGAATGCCATTTTCCTCCTCCTCTTGCTGAAAAACTGCTATTAACCTTTCAAGGATACAGTTCATCTATCACAGCCTCTGTGAGACATTTCCTGCCTGGTTTCCCAAACAGAAATAACAGCTCCCTTGTCGATGGTCCCTCAGCGTTTGTTCAGCAAATATGTACTGGCTCCCAGTATGCTATGCTGTGCTAGGCCCAGGGAAACAGATGAATTGAACGATCCTGCCCTCAAGGAGTTCACGGTCTAGTGGGGAGACCAATGAGCAAAAAGACAAGTTGACTACAGTGTGACAGGTGCTGGGACGGAGAGAGGCTGTGGAAGAACAAAGAAACCAGGGAAAGCTTCCTGGAAGAGAGACTCCTGAGCTCCACCAATGCACTACGCACACAGCTGTACAACAGTAAGTGACTCTCACCCCCCACCAGCTCCTCGGAAGTGGGTACATTCCTTCCTTCCTTGTGAACAGCGCATATCCGGGGCAGCACTGGGCTTGCAGCCAGCACACAGTGTTTGTGTGAAATGAACACATCTGAATTGCATGGCCACAGTTACCCTTCCGGGCCAAAGGTTCTGAAAACGTACTCAGCAGAAAGAAAGACATTTGGTTTCTTTACCCTAGGAACAGCCTCCAGCTACAAGGTGGTCCTGATACATTTCCACCCCAACCACCTGCCCCAGCGTTTCTGTGTCCCCAGGGCCTAGAGTAGTGTCTGGCGCATGGAAGGTTCCTGATAAATGTTGGAGGGAAGGAAGGAGGGAGGGAGGGAGGGTGGGCGGAAGGCAGGAAGGAAGGAAGGAAGGCAGGAAGGAAGGAAGGCAGGAAGGCAGGAAGGCAGGAAGGCAGGAAGGCAGGAATTCTTCCAGCACGGGATACTTACTGCAGGGTAGACGTGGCCAGTCTGAGCGGTCCTCCCTATGTGCAGCTCATCTTCGTCCTCTTCTTCTGTCGTTTTCCTGTACACCGGGTTGTCAAAATTCATGCTTTTGGTGTTCTTCCGCTTCCAGTTTCTCCAGATCAGGTAGCCACTCATGCACAGCAGGGCTATTACCGCTGGAGAAAGGGACACAGCATGCTGAACTTCTGGTAGGCTCCAGCCCATTGCTCAGATGTCAGGGCATTTCTCGCCCCCTCTCCAACTTTCCTGCCCCTTGCTCCTCAGGTGGTTCTGCGAGTCCTTTTTCTGCTGCTTGGAAGCCCTGCTCCTGTATCTTCCTTTATTAACTGCCCATCTTTCACGACCCCGCTCAAATGCGAAGTCTCCTCTGCTTCTAGGGGAGCAGTCAGCTGCTCCCTCCTGTGTGTCCCCAGCCCATGGTACTGTACTTTATATGTGTGTGTACCCCCAACCAGACTGAGCTCTTTGTGGGCACGGACTGTGTCTTCATTGCTCTGCCTCGCTCAGTAACATGTACTGAGTGAATGAATGAATTTCTTCACCACACCTTCATCCTAATGCTGCGGCTTCCTTGGAATTCTCTGAGAAAACCATCCTCTCCCCAGATGCAGGGTGGGTGGTGGGCTGGGGCTCTGCAAGAAGAGGAGTATCTCTAGAAGGGGACACAGCAGGGAGACACTGGCTCTGATGTGCAACTGATGAACATATTAATGAGTGAAGGAGGACATTCTCTAACACAGCTGGGCAAAAATGGGGTAAGCAGCTTCACGAGATAGTAGGCGATCACCGTGAGCTTTCAAGTGGAGACTGATGACAGCTATCCAGGCTGCTCGAGAGGGACTTTTTTACTTTGATCATACTGTGATCATCGATACTCATTAAAGACAGGAACAAGGCCAGGACACCTGTCACCACCGCTACTGTTTATTGTTCCAGAGACCTAGCTTTGGCGTGAGACCAGATCAGGAATGGAAGAAGACACACAGGGGAGAGGGAGAAACCAAAGCGTTAGTATTATCAGTTCCGTATGTTCAGAAAATCTTGGAAAAGCAGATGAAAAACTATTAGAAATAACTTCAGTTCATCAAGAATTAAAAAAGGCAATAGCTTTCTTACTAATCAGCAATAACCAATTAGAAAAGGGAGAGGGATTAAGAACACATTCACAGTAGCTTAACGAAAAACTATAAAATGCCTGGAATAACCTAACAAGAAATGTGCAAGTCCTATTTGATCTATACAATTTTACAGAAGGACATAAAAGAAGGCTCAAATAAATTGGGAGAAGTGTCATGTTCCTGGATGGGAAGTTTCAATACTGTAAAAATGTGAATTCTCCCCACATCAACTTATATATACAAAGACTAAGATTCCATCATTAAGATGATTCTAAAGTTTATCCAGAAGAGAAGTTGAAAAAAAAATCCAAGAAAATATTGCAAGAACAATAATGCTCTATTAGGTATTAAAACCTAGCGTGAGGTTGTTCTTACAGTATATAGGAACAGACAGATAATTGGTGAAGGACAATGAACAGCCCAGAAGCAAGTCAAAGTATGGATAGGCATGTAGTTTACAATAAAGATGACAATTCAAGTCAGAGGGATGGATTACTCAATAATGGTCTTGGGAAAATGAAAGAGGCCTGTAGAAAAAAAATAGTTAAATCTCTACGTCACAGCATACTCTAAAATAAATTCCAAATGGGTTGGTGTCTAAATATAAAATAATATTTAGTAGAAAAATATATGGGGAGATATTTTAATAATTTGCAGTGAGGCAGACCTTCCTAAGCAAAACACGAAACCCAAAAATTGTAACACGAAAGATGAACAGATCGGATACGTAAAATTTTTTTAAATTTATGTGTGGCAAAAAGTACCACAAACATATTTAAAAATCAAGTGGGAGTATGGAAAAGAATATCTGTAAATGTGTATTACAAAGGTTTATTTATTTATTTAAAGATTTTATTTATTTATTTGACAGAGAGAGACACAGCGAGAGAGGGAACACAAGCAGGGGGAGTGGGAGAGGGAGAAGCAGGCTTCCTGTGGAGCAGGGAGCCCGATGTGGGGCTCGAACCCAGGACCCTGGGATCATGACCTGAGCCGAAGGTAGATGCTTAACAACTGAGCCACCCAGGCACCCCTATATTACAAAGGTTTAAGATTCATTATGTATAAATATTTCTACAAATAAGAATAAGATCAAGAACCAACAGAAAAACCAGACAAGACTAGGAATAAGCAATGCATTAAGGAGGAAATGTAAATGGCCATTAAGCTTATGAAAAGATACTCTACCTCATAGGGAAATGCCAGGGAAAGAATACTCATCTTTCACCCCTCAGAAGAGCAGAAATTAAAAATATTAATTATATCGGAGGGGGTTCTATCAGGGAAACAGAGTACACAAGCCCTTCTATCGAGTAGAGGATGGCAGGAAAGGGCTTAGTTTCTCTTTCATTAAACAATGTTCAGGGTGTTTTCTGCTTACTCTACTCAAAATCAGCCTGCCACAGTTTCCCCATCATCTTTCCTGTTAAAGCCTTTCAAGGCCAATTCAAATGGCATCTTCTCGGGAAGTACCACTCGCTCTCCTCCGCAGGGCATCACATTATTATAGCACGGTGTAATGCATATTAACACCACTCCTGCATCACTTTTGAGGACCAAGTCTGATTAAAGACTGAAGGCTCTTAAAGTCTTTTATCTTCTTCTTCCCTGGATCCTTGGCACTCAGCAGAGTCCCCTGCAAAGTGCAGAAGTTTTGAAAACATTCACTCACTAGCTCACCACCACACTGGGGATTTCCAGGATAAATGGGCAAAGTCCTTGTCCCTGAGATGCCCATGGGCAAGCAAGGGAGATCAACCTATGAATGGGCAGTCGCAATTCGAAGACCCCACCAAGAGATGAGACTGGTCCAAGAGACGGCATATTCAGGACACTATGTGAACAGCGGGGTGGGAGAGAATAAATCAGCCTCTGTGGTTCTCTGTGAGCTTTAACCAAATGTTGTATTTTGGCATGTCACACTTCTAGTTCCAAACCCACCCCCACCCCGCTCTCCCATGCTAGTTCCCCTTCCTGGCTTTGCTTCCTGCTGTTTTCACTGCTTGGATTGCTCTGGGTTCTTCTTCATTGGGCTGACTCGGCGTGAGTCATTACCCATCATTTTCACTCGGAAACCTTCCCTGCCCACTTCCCTTCGCTTCCGATTCCAAGTTAAGTACTTCCTCAGCGCTTCCACTGGACTGCCTGTGGTTTAATTTTAGACTTCCATGTCATCATCAAATTAGTTATCTGTTATGCGTGTCTCTCCAACAAGACTAAACTTCTGGAGGACAGGAACCGTGTCTTATTCATTTTTAACCACCTTCTCTCCACTTACCACAGTCTGCTACATTGCAGCTGCTTGATAAATGTTTGTTGAAAACCAAACCGAAAGGAAGCAAGACAGCACAATTTACTAAAGGAATGGCAAGCAGTGCTCCTCATTAATTCAACAAATATTTTATTTCCTACCATGTGCCAGCCACTGCTAGGAGCTGGGGAGAGTGGCGAGCAAGAGAGGCGCCAGCCCTGTGCCCACGGGAGCCGGCAGTTCGCCTTCACATGGTCGGCATTCGGAATGTGAACGCTGGGGAATAGGGAGGCACTGGGACGGTTGCCTGGGGCCAGGTCCTGAAGGGTCTTATGTGCCAAGCTAAGAAACCAAATGACAGCACTGGGAAGTGGGCAGGAAGGCTGCCGGGGCAGAAAAAGTCTCTGAGCCACAGTTTCCTCAATGGGACAGCTCAGTGTGCTAAGTGCTCTGTGCTAGTGCCTTTCCCCAGAGCCTGAGCTCGGTTTTTCTCGTCTCCCTGGAGACTTGGGGCCACACTCACCCATGGGCACGAGGATCCCAATGACCGCAGCAGTGACTGTTGAGCCCATCTTGCCACCTTCATTCCCATCTGTAAAACACAAATGTGCAGAATGATGCTCCAGCACCGTGAGCCCAAGTCCTTGCTGACTTCAAGCTGTAAGAACTACCCAACTGCTGCCCTCATTCCAAAGTGAGGATCCTGGCTAATGCCTAATAATTCAGTCTTTCCAGATCCCATCAAAACTCGGACAGAGGTTATCTTCATTTCACACATGGGGAAATAGAGTCTTACTGGGGTTCTGGGGACTCACAGAGAAGCTGCAGAGCTGGGACCCAAACCCAGGACGTGTGCCCCGAGTCCCTTACCCTTCCCACAGTACCATGTGCTAGGAAGCTGGGGGGGGGGGGGGGGGGGAGTGCTTGGCGGAGTGAACACTTAGGTCTCTATGTTGCTAACTGACCGAGGCAAATACCTTTTCCAGCCCATATCTATTGCCTTGTCTCTGTTGCTTGGGTGGTCTGTCTGTTCGTCTGCATTATCAGCTTATTTTCAATAAGTAATTAAATGGGATGCACTATAACGTAGTGGCACCAACAGCACAGACTCCTGGGGTCAGACATCCTGGGTTCAAATCCCAGCGCTCCTACTTGTGTGGGCAAGTTACCTACCTCCTGGGGACACTGTGAAGGTCAAATGAGATAATTCACGTAGAGTGCTTCCTGCGCCCGGTGCCTGGCACAGCCTTGCCTGCTTCAAAGCGGGGGGACTGCCTGGGAAGCCTGCGGTAGCAGCGCCGCCCGCTCACTGCGCATGAGCAAGCGCTGGATGGCGAGAGTCAGGCCCAGAGCAGCAGGAAGCCGGAGGGGAGACCCTGAGCTCCCGAAGCTCTGCCCCACCCGAGAGGGCCTGGAACTCACGTCACCTGCCTCTCTGAACTTCAGGGTGAGCGCTCAACTCTGCAAAGCCAGCTTCTGCCAGCAGGATGGGCCTGATGAGAAAGGTGCTACCAAGCTGCTTGGCTTCTGGGCCACATATGGGAAAAAGTTTTAAAGATGGTTTATCTTCTTAAGTGAACTCGCCCTGGCAGGTGACCCAATTAAAAAGGTATTTGCTGGATAATGAGACAGAACATTTCTGGCCATGAGAGTTACTGCTCCCGATGATTTCGTAAGTGCTGAACATAATTATTTTCATGCCAGGGTTTGGAAAGAGGCACAAGCAGACCATAGTGATGGTATTACTACCTGGGGAACTGGCTGAGGGGGCCCAGAAGAGAGACCAGAGCTTCTGAGGTTTCCAGACCAGAGGGACACCCCCACATCCACACGTCAGTACCGCGTGAAGCCAGGCACACGCCCAGCGACAGCAGAGGCTGTGCACGCGAGCCCTTCTGTTTGCACCACCTCCTCTGTCTCTCCAGGCAATCTCGTGAAGCAGGAGGGGGAAGGGTAATTATCATTCCCACTTTGTAGGTAAAGAAACTGAGGCTCAGAGATAGGAAGTGGCTTCCCACAGGACCCTCTACAAGTTAGGGGCACCTGAGACTCCTAAATCATAGGTGGGCACCTCTACCTGCTTCCTCAGAGAGGTCCAAGTTTCTGCTCTGGTATGATCTCTTCTTCCACATATCCTGCCCCCCCCGCCCCAATCCTGGCTTCCTGAAGGCCCCTCCCATGTCAGGAAAGAACGCAGAACTCATTTCCTTACAGTGCTGGGAGTGGTTGCTGGTCGCAGGGCTTGGGGTAGAGGGCTTGATGCTGGGAGCCCTGGGGACACCAACTGAGCTTGGGACCACAGCTGCCAGGCTTGGTGTCTCTGTGCTGCGGTTCTGGTAGGTGAGGCTGTGGACAGTGGTCCCAGGGGTTCTCGTGGTGTCGGCTAGTGTCCTCGTTGTGGTAGGAGCTAATGTCGTAGTTGAGGTAGATTGAGGTGCTGGAGGGGAAATGTCACGGAGGTTACTCGGACAGAGAATTCTCTTGCTTTATGCCTAACTTACTGCCTCTATGAATTATACTTACGAAGTTATCCTCAAGGCTCAGCTCAAAATGCCAAGGCTTCCCTAAACCTCCTGAATGGGTTCTGACCTTTTCTTTAGCTGAATCTCAAGCACTTTATGTTTATACCACACATTGACTTGATTAAGACAGGTCATTAAAACAAGGCTATAGAATTAGGTGTGGGCAAGACCACCGTAAAAGGCTGGGAGAGGGGGAAATCATATAAGTCTAGAAGGGTTTTTACATGCATATTGATATACTGCTAGATTTAAATTCTCAGTCCACTTTAAACAACTGAACCTGGAAATCACAATACATAAATCTGATGTAGCAGATACGTGCTCAAACCAAAGGCCTTGGTCCTGTATCCAGACTGGACACTGAATATAAACATATACGGTTGAAGTATTAACTATTAGTCCCAGTCATATCACAAAAGGGCTTCTATGTCTTGTGTTCAGTTCTAGGTGAGGAACAGGCAAGCTCACAGTCTCCTACATAGAAATAGTAACCGAAGCCACAGGGATAAGGATTCTTAATTTCAGATCTTCAAGGGGCTCCAGAAACCCCCGAAATTGAATTTAAAATGTTGTATGTACACGTGCATTTTTTTCTTGGAAGTTAGAAGAGAAAGCCTTGGAAGGACCCTGGGAGACACCAGCATTCCAGGAAAGTAAAGGAGGCAACAAGCAGCCAGAAAAGAAAGACAAAAACCGGGAGCATATGGCGTCCCAGAAGCCAAGGGAAGAGTTTAGCAGGAGGGGTCTCGCATTGCCAGGGGCCAGCGTCCTGGTAGGTCTGCTTACCTCGGTAGCACCTCTTCATGTCTGGGCCCAGCCACATGGTGTCAGGACAGGCACACGTGTACTTGAGAGAGGGGCTGGAGATCTGAGGAGCAGGAAGGCACAGGTACTCACAGCCGCCATTGGGCTGGGCACTCAGCTCGCAGGCATCTGCAGCTAATGGCACAGAGAGACAGAGAGGGAGAGAGGGAGAGAGAGGGAGAGTGTTGGAGCAAAGACAAGACATGCCAAGTCCTCCCTTCTCCTGAGGATGAGGTCCTTCCCACTCGGCTTGCTCCAAAAGCCTTCCCTCCTACTTTTATTGGGCACCTCCCAGCCTTGTACCTGGCGTTCCTCCCCACCCCCCGCCCCACCCCCACCACTTTCCTTCAGTCCTGATGACAACTCTGAGAGGTGGGTGCATGCCCCGGAATGACAGATACCAGACGCCTAGGCTCAAAGAGCACAAACTGGTCCAAGTTATAGCTCCAGCAATTTTACAGCTGGAATTTACACTGAGGTCTGTTGGATTCCAAAGTCTGTGTTTCGCCCACTATGCCACATGCCATGTCTCTTTCTTATTTCACCTTCCAGGTCTAGAATCAGGCACCAAGCTCATCTCCTCTTTCCCCTGCGCCTTCCCACCATCACCCTGCGGCCACAGCTGAGTTACAGGTAGACTGAGCATATACCCTAGCAACAGAGCCCGGGGTGCCTGAGGAGCAGGATTCCCGGCTTCTGGTCCTAACCGATGAGCCAGATCGCTCCAAGGCCCTAGGATACATTAGCTTATACTGCTGCAAAATGGGTACCCATCATAAAGGAGGCGATGTGCTCCCTCAAGGCAGAAAAAGCTCTTGGAATCAGACAGACCTGAGTTTGGGTTTTAGTTCTGTCATTTTACCTTTCTGAGCCCCAGCTTCCTAAATGAGAAAATAATACCCACTCTTTGTAGGCACAAATGGGACTTTACATGGTTTTTATACCCAGCCTTATTTCACCAAGAGCTGAAGGAAATGAGGTAAAATGTGTGACAGCAAAGCACTGTCCCAACGAGAGGGGCTGCTGCCATGTGTCCTGGGGGCACTGGGATGTTGTGTTCCATGAATGTGCATACAGCCTGACTAGTGCAGGGAGAGGGCGTGGGCAGGGGACCCGGGGCCAAGCAAGGCTCACCTCTTGGCTGCTTTAGCTCATGGAAGATGACAATGTCATGTGGGTTATTGAGGTTCTCAGCAAGGACGGCGATTTCCAGGCCATTGAGGCGATTTGCACTGAAAATGGCCTCATTCTCCAGGTCTGTCCAGAACACCTTGTCCTGTGGGGGTACAGATGCAGAGGATGGGAGCTCTAGAGCCTAAAGACATGACCTCAGTCTGAGGGTTTGGCCCCAAACCACTGTCACAAGAACTGCCCTTACATCTCCCCTGAGCTCTCCTGTCCACAAATTCATGGGGGGTGGAGGGGTGGGCTCTCAGCCTCTAATCTGTGGCATATACTCTTGTTCTTTCTGTCACAGAGGGTTATTTGTTGATTCTGCACATTGTCCTGAAGACTGCTCATTAATGCTGAGCTAGGCCTGCTTCCTGGAGCCCCGGAGAAACCCAAAGTTGGGTCTCGATGACTGTTACCATTGCCGGGGCCTGGGACCAAGACTGGAGGGGATGTATGAGCTACTGAGGACTATTCCCTGATAGGTCCTCCTACAGCCTTCGGGTACACACGTGTAAATATGCATCCAATGCTTCGTCCGTATCAGCCTACAGGTGCATCTGCAGGCAAATCCACAATTATAGGTACAGCCATGCAGCTTCATGCACAGATCTGGACACATACCCACACATACATACCAAAGCAGACACCTAACTAAGTCTTGCTATAAGGATTTACATATTCACAAGCACCAGCACATACAGAAATGCATGCTTGTAAATGGATGCGTTTATGTGTACACAAGCATATATACTTTACACGTACCTGCCACGTTATGCACAAGCCCATACACGTGTCTGAACACACCTGTCTTTCGAAGCAGGGGCTGGACTTGGAGGTGGGGCTTTGCCCACAATTTCAGAGCAGTGCTGAGTGATGTCACTCTAAGCAAATATGGCCAATGCCCACCAGAGACCACTGTCCCCTTGCTTTCCCTCCCCTTGGTGGCAGAGTTAGTGTAGGGGAAGAGATCGATGTGGTGAGACCTTGGTTGGTTCTGGCTTCCTCATTCCCCAAGGAGAAAGGTTGTTAGGGTCAGAACACAGGCACAGGAGGGGTTGGACGCTTCACCCTCTAGGGAGCTTCGTGAGGACGGAGACGATGTCTGATTCACTTCTAGGACCCCAGGGTCCAGCAAAGGTCAGTGGAAGGGTGCTGAATTGAATAGCATCTCTCAGGCTATTTCCAGCAGTAGATTCTAAGGAGATGTATATTCCTTCTTCCTTCCCTCCCTTTATTGGGTACCTTCTGTACATGGGGGCGCAGTGCCAGGTGCTGAGGGTTCAGAGAGGAAACACACGTGGTCTAGCAACGTACCTGTGACAAGCGCTCTGAAAGGGGTCTTGGGAAGGAAGCACAGGACAACAGGCTGCGAGGCCTGTGTGCAGGCAGCCTACACACTGTGTACACAAAGCTGGATTCCCTGTGCCTTTGTTTCCATCTGGACCAGTCTCAGACAGCCATCCTATTTGAAAAGCCTTTTCTAGGCTTCAGCTTCCTGACAGGGCCATGTCTCCCCTCCCGGGACTCACCTCAAACACAGCTATCCCGAAAGGGTGGCTCAGGAAGTCAGGGGAGGAAATCAGCATCTTCCTGTTGCCTCCACTGAGGTCAATGCTGGATAGTTGGTGAAGCTTGGAGTCCACCCAGTACAAGCGCTGGTTCAGCAAGTCTTGGGGAAGAAAAAGGGGGCAGGGGATCGGGTCTTGAGTTGGGATCCCAACCAGGATCTCTGCTCCTCTGTGCCCACTTCCCTACCCATATTTCCAGGCCAGGCCTCCCATGGAGGCCAACCTGGGGCAACCATCCAGAAATACAGGCACTGGCACTATAAGGGGATATAAACACAAGGCCCATGGAGCTCCAGATGGTAGTCAGCACCAGGTAGTGGGACAGGCCCCCCAATCCAGGGGAGGCAGGGCTCACCCAGGGTGATTCCATTGGGCCATTCAATGTTGTCTGATACCAGTGTTTGCCGGTCCACACCATTGAGCCCAGACTTCTCGATCTTGGCCTGGTACCCCCAGTCAGACCAATACATGAACCTAAAAGAGAGAAGAACTCAACTGGAATTTTAGTCAGGGGGTGGGGTTAGGGTGGTCTGGGTCCCAGATCTCAATGACCCATCGAATGTTGAAGATTATGCTCAGTGGGGACTGGGAAGGCCTCTGAAATTCATTGGAACCATCGAATCTAAGAGTTAGCAGTTGTGTTAGCTTCCCCTCATCTGAGAGCCTGGGGAAGCCTATATTCCCTGAGAGTCCACCCAGCCTCAGCTGAAGAGTCTCGGAGCCCCTCTCTCCCACTCAGGCAGCTCTAACCAGAGCCCTAGAGGCCAGAGCAGGAAAGGCCCTTGTCAACCCTCTCTTACTTTCCTGGTCCATAGAAGGGAAAGTGGGCGGCTTACCCGGGGTCTCACAGCTGGAACTCGGCCCAGGGTTTCTCTCTCTTCTTTCTTGAACGTTTATTGAGTACCTACTGTGTGGTATGCAATGAGCTGAGAGGTTTCACCTCATGTACTTACAAATGCAGCCATCACTGCCCCTCTAATCCCGTCCCTCTAGAGCAGGCAAATGAACTCTCAAAAATGGAAATCAGTTGTCACTCTCTGGTTTCTAAACTTTATGGTGGTTTCTCCTATTGCCCTTAAAACAAAATCCCAAATCCTTCCCACAGCTGACAGAGCTCTGCCCGCCTCTTTGTTGTCCCTCCCACCACCACCCTACCCTTCCAAACCCCACACGTGCCCCACGGGGCTCCAGGGCACCAAGCCTTTATGGGACAGGCCTTCGCAGAGCCTCGGGCCTCTCCCCCCATCCCCGAGCTCCCTCTGTGTGAATGTCCTTGCTGTACAGAATCGTTCTTTCTAAGTAGGTTCACCCTGTTATCATCTCTGAAAGCACCCGTTCTTGCCTTCCTACCACTTATACAATCAGTTATTTCTGTGTGCATTTGGGTGGTGTGGTGTATTTTACTATCTATTGTCCCCACTAGTCTGTAAGCTCCACTGAGAGCAGGCTGTCTGTCTTGTTTCCTCATTGTGTACCTGGCAGGTCGCTCATGTGTGACCCAGAACGGGCTCTTATTTAATATTTGTCGGACAAAGTAATGTTTTCATTCTAGCCCTACCACAGCCCCCGGAGAGTGTAATTAGTCCCATTTTATAGATGAGTAAATTGTGGCTCAGAGGGGTTGACTTCCCTCAGATCACACTGTTAATAAGTAGTGGAGCCAACCTTCAAATTTATATACAAATGCAAGCTGAACTCTAAAGCCTGGAGGCTTCATTCTTTCTAAAACTGCCTCTGCTGAGAGCTGGTGTCAGGCCAAGGCTGACTTGGGGCTGGGGGGCTGAGTGGTTCTGTTAGCAGCTGTGGAGTCACTCTTTACCCATCCCCATTTTGCTCTGTACACCAAAAACCTGCCCCATGTGTGAACCACATCAACGGGCTTGGCTCCCTAGCCTTCTGACTTCCCGTTGCATTCAGCAAAATGTCTGAGCAGGAGGAAGGAGAGACTGAGGTTAGGGTGTTTGTTCCAGACTCCTCTCTACAAAGTTGCCTCCGGCTGGCTACTGCTCTCAAGATGATCCTCTTTCCTTCCCAACCTGGGTACCCCTCCCTGCTCCTGCCCCTCAGGCCAAGGGCTGCTAAGGGCGCACTGGTAGGGACAGTGCATCAGACCGCACCCACTCCTCTGTAAATAGTCCCTTGTGAGTCCTCCTCAAATTATCTGCATTTGGGTGTGCGATGGGTTTCCTGCTGGGACTCGGACAGATCCACTGGACTGGAGATGGGCTGGGTGAAACTACGTGTGGGGGCACACACAGGGAGCAGGGCTGAAGTGGGGGTTAAGTGAGACGACTCAGCATCAGTAGGGTGCCTGGTCCCGTGCTGCGCGCTCCTGTGTGGGCTCATTAAAGTGCAGCTGTCAGTCCCTGCCCAAGGCCTCCCGCGTTCTGTCAGGTGCCACCCTGGCCCCCAGCCGCCCTCACTGGAAGAAGAAGACTTTCTTATCCCCATTTACAATGAAAGAAACGGTAATAGGAAGAAGCTAGTGATTCTGGTAAATTAATATGACCACAGCTGCTGAAAAACCATGCCTTCCTGGGACATCCCTCCTGAGGAAGGGAGGGAAGGGGCCTGCTCTGTTCAGAATCACTACCCCCCAAATGGAGGTGTGGCCAGAGCCGGGCAGCCTGGGTGGTGACAGGCCCAGAGACTGTGGGCCCAGGGGTGGGCAGCCTGGAGCAGAGCAGACCCGGTCCCTCTCGGTCCTCATTATCTTGCTGGCTGTCTTGCGGGGCAGGAAGTAGACACGTTTGATGTAACTCCAGAGGCCAATGGAGAAAGTCAAAGTTAGGCAGATTTGGGGATCTGAGGAAAAAAAAATCCTGACCACTAATAGACAGAGCTGCCTTGAAATGAAATGGCCCGTGTGGGAAATAACGAGCTCCCCGTCCAGCCCCAGGAGCTTTTACTAGGCAATCTCTAGAGCCCGACTCTGCTCTGCGATGCACTGATTCTGTGATATGATGAGTGAGTGGCAGAGTTCAGGAGAACCCCGGTGACCAGTGCCCAAAGAGCCCTTGGTCAGGGGTTAACAGTCTGAGGGGCCCACACAGACTTTCTTCCCTTGGGCCGTCTGAGTGGCCCAGGGCCTTCCAAAGTCCTCAAGATAGCTCTTATGACAGACACAGGAGAACTGAATGCCTACTCAGGGAAAATGGGGAGTTTGGGTGGGACACTCACCCTCTCAGGGGGTCGACCGCGATGGCCCGGGGTTCACTGAGGTCACGGCTGAAGAGAGTGCAGCGGCGGCCGCCATCAACTGTGGCCACAGAGATTGTCTTGTTGCCTGAGTCAGTCCAGTAGATGTGCTTGTGGACCCAGTCTACCGCCAGGCCCTCCGGAGAGTGCAGCTGCTCATCCATGAGGACCTCCTGCTCCGCCGGGTCGCTGGCCTTGTCCATGTAGGCGCTAGGGGCAACCAGAGTTGGCCATGGGGCAGGTGTTCTACCCATGGGTCCATCTGGACCTGCCTGGGCACCCTTCCCCCAGCCTCCCCTCCCCTCTAGGCTATGGCAGTGGATTTTAGAGGAACTTGGCTAGTTCCTGGGCCACCAGGGGCAAGCATATCGGCTTGAATATGCCACAGCCCCTGGCCTGGAGGAGCTCAGTTTAGTGGGGGACAGGGATTTATAGCCAGGGAATCACAGTACAACGTGATTACGGAAAGCATCAGAGACTCTAGCAGCCAAGAAACGGAGACTCCATTATCCTGGAGGGCTGGAGGAGGCTCTGCAGTTGAGTCCGGAAAGACTAGCTCAACCAGGAGCACAAGGAACAGAAAGTGGAAGGAATGGCATGTGTGAGTGCCCAGAGGTGTGTGTTCTGGAACAGTGAGGCATTCGGTGGGGGCAGAGCTGAGTATGTGGGATACAGACTGGAAGTAAGTGTAGGCAGGGGCCGCAGGCCATGCTAGGCAGTCAGGATTTTATTCTGGAGGGAGTGACTGAGCAGGTGACAGGTCATGGTCAGAAAGGCATGTTGGATCACTGTGGCGCTGGTGCACTGGAAGGGGAGGAACGGAGGCAGGGAGACTGGCTCGGGGGTCATTACAGCAGCTGGATGAGGGATGAAGAGAGTCTGCAGAAAGGCTGTGTCGGTGAGAACGGAGAGAAGGGGCGGCGAACACAGCAGACATTTAGAAGGTAATACTCCCAGGACTTTCTGTCTCCCAAATGCTGGTTTTCCCAAGGCTCTCTCCTCCCCAACGTCCGCCCTCTGGTTGATTAGATCCACGGCGCCCACTGCCACCCACAACTCTGACTCTCCCATCCTGACCACTCTCTTAAGCTCCAGACTGTAAAGCCAACTGTCACCCCTTGGATGTCCCACGGATACCTTGAACTCATGTCCCAAACTGCCCACCCCCATTCCCCTCCCCTCAGCCAGCCTGAATGGCCAACACCCCACCCGATCCACTGCTCCCAACTCAGAGAATGGCAGCACCAGCCACCCAATCTCCCAAACCAGAAATCTGAGACTCCCAGAATGCACCTCCTTCGGCCCCACACCCAGTCTATCATCAAATCCTGCCTCTTCCAGGCATAACTGCGGGGCAGATATGGCTCTAGCTGCTTCTATGTGTGAGTGCAAACTGAGTACGTGTCTGTACATTGGGGGTGTGGTATGCTTCTAGTTGTCAGTGAGTAGCACTTGGTATATCTGCTTCCATCCATCCATCCATCCATCCCATCATTCTTTTAACAGTCTACCCCATGCCTGGTTATTGGCAGTCCTGCCACGTGGATCTCAGGACAAAGAAAGGACATGACATCCAAAAAGGGGCCCGGATAGGGAGGCAGGCTTGTGGGATTTGAGAAAGACCTATGGGAGGACCTCCTTGTGTGTGTGAGGAGCCTTCTGAAGAGCTGAAGTCCACTGCCTATGGTGTCAGACAAAGTAAAGGGCTGGACTGGGAGTACTGCCATCCAGGAAGAGTTCCCTGACACCCCAGATTGGGTAGGAGGCCCCCTCTGTACTTTTCTCTCAGGATCAGCATAATAAATGTCACTATGTTATGAGTGACAGGTCTGAGTCATCTTCGACTGAGTCATCCCCAGGATCCAACACACAGATACGTGGGCTGCTTCAAATGTCCTCACCAAAGCCAGAGCTTCTTCCTTCCTGGCCTGGGGGAACGGTTCCTGTGTCTTGCACTGCCCTGCCGGGCCGCCAGAGGTCAGTCAGAGGCCGGGGGTGTGGGCTCAAAGCTGCTCTCCCCACAGAGCTCTGGGCCTCGGCCAGCCCCGGGGAAGAAGGCCTGGCAGTTCCATATGCCCTGTGATCCTGCGTCCTTTCGCAAGTCCCCGTCTGTCCCCTGGGGATCCTGGAGGTGGAGGGGGCACAGAGCCCCCAGCCCCCATCAGGCCCCTGCCCCCGTCCAGGCCTGGCTGCGGGACACCTGCCACTGCGAGCACCTGTAGATCTTGCGGTAGGAGAGGTCACACCAGTAGATGCGATTGGTGGCAACTTCGACATCCAGTGCCACGACGTTCTTGAGCATGGGGATGAGGCGCGAGTAGTCCCGCTTCACCAGGTCTATCCTCCGCACTTCATGCCGGTTGGTGAAGATCAGCGACGGGCTTCTGCCAGCTAGCATGCGGGAAGGTTGAGAGAAAGGGTCAGTGCAAAAGGCGGGGCTTAACATGCAAAGTACCATGTATAACGGAAGGATCTGTATTCTTTTTACTAGACACACACTCCCCCTATTTCCTCCTAGGCTTACGCTGAGGGCCTTCTGTGGTGTGACCCCAAGCTCCCTGCCTAGCCTCACCACTCACCCCTAACACACCTTGACTCCAGCCACCAGACCACCTATTAATGACCTAGCCACGCGGGGCCTGGCTGCCTCGGGCCTTTGCTCAAGTGGTCCCCTCTACCTAGAATGCACTGCTCCCCAACTCCCCTGCTTAGGGCCCCACTGCAATAGTTCACGAAGGGGCCACGTGAGCATTAAGCGTTTTAGAAAGGGGACTGAGGCTGGAGTGTGAGGACGAACATCAGAACTAGGGTGAGGGTTAAAAGAGAAGACGCAGTCTCAGACTCCTCTCCCTGAAGACTGAGGCTTTAGTTTATGCGGAATGTGTTTGGGGACACGAAAACAGATGAAGCTTCAGAGGCTGGCAGGGATCAGGAAGGGTCCTGGGAGCTGGGTGCAGAGTTTGCACTTGACTCTGAAACAGTGGCAGGGATGGGATATTTGCAATATACACATGACTACCCATGCACACACACAAGTCATTTTTAGACTTAGGATACTTTAGGAAGATCACTAGTGACCGAGACATTCCTGGCTACTCGTATGAGGGTCACTACCCCAGAGGCCTGTGAGGGACCAGCACTTAACTCAAGTTTCACTCCTGCAGCCTGGTTTTAGATGTATGGGGCTACTCCCAGGTACCAACACCTGTACCTGGAGCTGCACGGGCCTTTTCCCCATTTTCCAGCTGACGTTTCTGCAGGCCACCTGGTCCCTGTCACTGTGCATCTATGCCAGGCTAATGAGTTCCCTGGGGGCTGGGTAGGTGATGGCCCGTGCCCTGTGTGTGATGATGGGTCAGGGGAGGGGGGAGGGGAGGACGTGGTACCCTCAGAGAGTCCAGAGAAACAGAACTCCGGGTGCAGGAGGGAGAAAGGGAGAGCCGACTTCAAAGCCTTGCCCCTGACTGTGCCATTTTCCTCATCCCAAAACGAGAGCAGCGACACTATCCTCCGGAAGGCAGGAGCTGGGTTACAGGGTATCTCGAGGCCGTTTCTACTGAGAACCGTCTGTGATTGGAACCCAGTGTGCAGATGGTTGGGATTTTTGTGTGACTGCACTTTAGATGTTCCTCTGCGGGCCTTGTGGTTACACGGCAGTTGTGTGTTGTCTCCACTGCACGTACATAATCCCTGTGTGGATGACACGCGCCCCACACGGGGGAGTGGGGGGCGGCGAGAACAGGCTGCACGTGGCGCGTGAGGCGCTAATGTGTGTGTTGCGTCTGGCGCAGTTGGGGTGGTACATTTGGGGTTTGCAGGCTACGTGTCCCTTACTGAGGCCGCTGCCCTCTTACAATCCACACACTGTGCTTTGTATGTGTGCATCTGAGCTCCAGACTCGTACGTCCAGCTGCCTCCTACCTCCGCTCGGATGTCGGAACAGCTTTCTTGGAAACTCAGCATGCCCAAATCAATGTACTGTTCTCCCAACCCTGCTCTTCTCACCATCTTTCCCAGCTCCATAAATAGCAATCCTGTTTCCCCAGTTGTTTGGCCAAAAACCTTGCAGTCATCTTTGGCTTTTTTTTTTTTTTTTTTTTTTAACTCTCACATCCCACGTTCAATTGGTATGTGAATCCCGTTGCTTCAGAATAAGTCTTGAGATTCAAGGCATGTCCAGTCTGTCTGCTTCGCACTGTTCGTGCTGCAAAACCCTGGTCTAAGCCACCGTCTCCTCTTCTGGGTTATGGCCCAAAACCTCTTCAATGGTTTCCCTGCTCCCTCCCGTGCCCCCTATGGTCTCCTCCCAGCAAAGCAGCCACAGGAAGCCTGTGGAAATGGAAGGCACAGCACACTTCTCCTCTACTCAGAACCCGCCAAGGTCTCCCCCGACTTGGGGTGAAATCGAGTCAGCCCTTACAATGGTCTAGAAGGCCCTGTGATCTGCCTGGAGTCACCTCACTGACTTCATCTCCTATGCTCCTTGCCCCAGCTACGGTGGCTTCCACGCTGTCCTCCGAACACACCACACATGCTCTGGCCATAGGGCCTTTGCACTTGCTGTCCCTTTGGCCTGAAATGTGGTTCCTGCAGATAACTGCACGGCTCCTTCCTTTACCTCCTCTCATGAAGGTCATTCCTTGACTGCTCCATCTAAAACCGTAGCCCTGCCTGCCACCCCACGCCCAGGACTTCCCTCCCCCCTTCCCCACATGGTATTCCTCCTGAACCATGACCATCATCTGCCATGCTCTCTATTTTACTTATTGATCATATTTCTTGTCTGTCCCATCCACCAGGATGTAAGTCCCATGAGGGCACACACGGATCCGTGTCTGCTTTGCTTACTGCCGAATGCCCCGTGCCTACAACAATGTGTCAGCCTGGGCACCACACACGCTCTACAGGGACTACCCGTGCCGTGTGCGTCATCTGCACGGGCCAGTGTGTGTCGTACGTTGCGCGTGCTGCATGTGCCATCTCTGCAATCCTGGGTGGCTCTGGGCAGGGTCTGTGTGGGCGTTCGTGTGCAATGTGCTGTGTGTATGAGGTATACTTAGAGTCCGAGCGCCGCGTGTGCCCCCTGCTTCGTGTGTGCGCACCCGCACCCGTGTACCCATCTGCTCTGCACCTAGGTGGCAGCAGGCTGCTTTCTGTGTCCCCTTGGGGCTGCCCCCGTGCCCCCCACCTTGGGGTGCCCATACCGACAGCCTTGCAGTTCTTGGTCAGAGTGTCCATCTCGTAGCCGGGGTGGCACTCGCACTTAAAGTAGCCCTTGTAGTTGACACAGATCTGGCTGCAGGCATCGGGGTCCTCACACTCGTCGATGTCTGTCGGGGGGGACACAGGTCAGAACTGGCAGGGCGCTCCGCCTCTGCTTGGGGGTGCGGGGGGCGGTGAGGGGAGGGTCTCACCGCCGCAGGTCTTCTGGTCTAGGAGCTGGTAGCCTGCTGGGCATGTGCACTCAAAGCCGATCTTGAGGTCTGTGCAGATGTGGGAGCAGCCCCCATTGTTGTGCAGACACTCGTTCAGCCCTGGGGAGGGACACAGGCCCCTGAGGGTCCAGGAGCCCGGGCTAGGGTGGGGGCAGGACAGGGGTTGGGCCTAGAGCTGAAGCAGAGACTCAGGGCAGCAGGACCGCCACAGAGCCAGGATGCTCTCCAACCGCACTGAGCCGCGGCATCAGTAACCAGGTGACTGGGCAAGAGGTGGCTCCAGGCCGGACACAAAGACAGGGACAGAGTGGAACTCAGGTCCTTTGCCTCCCAGGTCAGGGCTCTGTCTACCTGGAGGCTGGAGGCAGTTAGGCCGCCTGAGGTCTCTCCTTTCACAAACACAGGTCTCACCTCCTCCTTCCTCGTGACCTCATCGTGTGGGGACCACCCCCAACCCTCAGGATACGTTAAGAAACCCTTCTGAAATGCCCTTGCTTAAACATCTCCAGCCTCAAGGAGCCCCCTTCCTTCCTAGGACAGCCTTCCTCACTAGACTGGCCTTCCTAAAGCTTCTGCTCCCACTCCAGCTCTGCGGGGTGGGGTTGGCCAGAGTCTGATGGCTCCCTCAGAATTTCCTCAAAGCGCTGATTTCTGGTGCCCTGCCATTCAAGTGCCTTCCTCTGGACACATGTCCCTCCCTGGACAGGGCTCAGGGCTAGTCTGCTGCTGCCCAGAGGGAGTCTGAACAACAAAGGCTGTCCCCACTGAGCTTGTGGTTATCTAAGACCCCAGGCTTTTCTACACAGAGCTGCTGCTCGGTTAGTTCTTTCCTACCAGGGAATATGATGGATTATTTCCACCTTCTCCCCTCTCAGCACCTGTCCATCTTCCTACACTCAGTCACAGGCCTGGTCCTGGGAGTACCAACTGCTGCAGGGGCTGAAGGAATGCCAGGAGCTCATCTGGTCTCCCCATCCTCTGCTCCCTCGCCCCCTCTGGCAGAGTCCTAGGGGAGGTTAGGGAGGCCAGCACCAAGGCTCACCATGTTCTCACAGCATCTTCTGGGCTTTGGAATCACAGGTTAATTCTGCAAGCCAAGAGAAGGTGCCCTGCCACCCTTCTACCCACTGGGCTCATGCACCGCCACTCCAGACAGGCCAAGCAGAGCTGAGCTAAGCCAGCTGTGGCCATGCACACAGCTGGTCTGAGTGGCCCACCCCAGGCCATGCACAGCTGTGGGTGCCCCACCTGCAGCCTGAGCCATGCGGAGGGATGATTCCCCTTTACCCCTGGGCCTCCTCCTGTTTCCCCGGGATGCTGGTGTAACTGAAAGAAGAAGATCACAGCAACCCCGTGACCGGAGAGTCTGGGGGGGGGGGGGGGGACTCAGCCCAGAGTCCCCTGGGATGGGGCTGAGCCACGGCAGATTTGAAGGGCTCTCTGTGGGGCACCACCTCCAGGATTCTTCTGTCACTCCACGCCTTCCCTGACCTCTCCCTACTGTACTGTTCCCTCAGTGCCATCCATCCATCTGCTCACCACTCACTCACTGCCTCGTTCATGCACCACTCGCTGCCACCCCGCCCCCCCGTAGGTAGCAGCAACTCAACAGCTGTATTTACTGAGCACTTGACAGACTAGCACATGTAGAATGGCTCTGAAAAGGGAAAAGGGAGAGCACAAAGTTGCTCAGGTTTCTCTGAAAGAGGAAAGCACAGAGTCCTCTAGCGCAGAGGTGCGTCGGGGCGAGAGAATGAGAGTGGGTCCAGACCTTGTTGACCCTGCTCTGGAAGGCCAGCACCAAGGCAGAAGCCAGAGGGGATCCCCTGGGCCTTTCCAATTCATCTAGCCTGGAAGTGATTCTGCTGGGTGCCTGCAGGGGAGGAGGGGGCTGGTGGTCCAGAAGCCGCCATGGAAGGAAGGGGCAGAGTCACTCTCCCCGGCACATGCGCGTCCCTGCATGCATGCTCACGCACACCAGCGGACGTGTGGAGGCACCGCAGGCCCATGGACTCCACAGACACAGTCACACAGATGCAGGGACCCACAGAGACACGACTAGCGGTTCCCTTGCCTTACTCGGAGGAGGAGCCATGGACACAGACATTGGCCTCTCCCCCACACAGAGACACAAATACATGCATACATGCTGCTCTTAGGTGTGTCGTGCAAAAGACAAGAAAGAAGAGATTTAGTAGGTTAGCAGTCCCTGGCAAACTCCAAATCTGGGTGGGGTGGGGGGCTAGGCTCAGTTGCTCCCACTTCCCTATCTTTTGCCCAGGTTCCTCCCTCTAGGGCTTTTCCCGGCAGGGCCTCTGAGAGAGCAGGAGGGCCCAAGAGGAGTGTCTGTCCTGCCAGCTCAGGTTCGAGCTGAGTGACCTTCACCCAACCACTCTTCCTTTCAAAATCAATTTTAAAATCTCCAGCAGGGGTGGAGACATGCTGCTTCTGGGGAGTTCTAGAGAAACTCCCTGGAGTGCCCAGGAGGGGAGGTGCTGAGTGAAAACGGGTCTGTCAGGAAGGTAGGATTTGATCTAGGCGCTGTCCTCCCAGGAATTCTCTGTCCAAACCCCTGCGCTCAGAAATGAACCTTCCTGGAGCCCACACTGGGTTTCCAGCATGTTCTGTGGGATGCCCACCTCACCTACAGCCCAGACTCTCCCATTCTTTTTAGCCTGGAACCCACCCTGACAGCTCTAGCCATTAGGATAGCTGCCTCATTCCACCCCTTACTCGTGCCCAGCCTGTAAGTCTTGTCTTCCAGAAAGTCCAAGCTCCTTGGTGCTCAGAATGGTGCCGCCTTCTGCTACTGGGTCTGCCTTACCCTCCTCACTCAGGCCTGGCCTGAGCCAGGTGGCCTTGGGACGCACCTCACTTGGCTACCTGCCTGCTGTTCCCTACCTCTCCCTCTGCAGGGATTCCTGCAGGGGGCTGGAAGGCCTCAGAGGCCAGGGCCCTGGCTAGGTCAGCAAGGCAGAAACCACTGAGGAGGGAAGTTTCAGAGGGAGCACACACTCAAGAGATCTGAATGTGGAAGGAGTGAGGAGAAGAGGCCGAGTTTGTGAGAGGAAGCATAATTGAGCATCTGGGTTGGAAAGGAAAGGCAGCTCGATTTGCAGAGATGCAGAATGAGGACCCAGAGGCAGAGTCCTGCCTGAGGCCACAAGATAGTGCACAAGTCCAGAGAGAGGGTCAGAGCAGAATGTGTGCAGAGGGGCAGGCATGGGCCTCGGACCGGATGCCAGGAGAGGGCTGGGGGGGGGGGGTCAGTCCAGCAGCCAGAAGGAGACAGGTACTGTACCACACTCTTTCAGAGGCTCATCTGACCAGTCGCGGCAGTCTCTCTGAGCGTCACACACTTTCCCGCCGTCCACGCACTCGCCACTCTTACACTGAAATCTGCGGGGACCCTCACATGTTGACTCTGTCGGGCCGGACAAGAGAGTGGACAGGACCTGTGAGACCTTGGGCAGGGAGGGCTAGGCTGGTCTAGGTCCATGGGAGGCAAGCCGAGCTCCAGCCCCAGTCCCCACTAGTCTCTAGAGGACCCAGGACAGACAGTTGAATACAGGGCTGGTGGGAGCTCTGCTCTCAGAAGGGCAGGACCCCAGGGATAATCAGGATACCCAAGCATCATCTAGCTGGGCGAGGCGGGGCGTGCGGGGGGTCTGTGCCTGATCTGGCAGTGCTGGGCCCTGAGAGAGAAAAGCAGGAGCCCTACAGAGACCCTGGGGACTGGACTGACCACCTGAGAGGCACCTGTGCCCTGGAGGCCCTGCATAGGGGAGGCCACCTCACTGCCCAACCTTTTATCCATTTCCCCACATGACCTATGGTCAGGGTCCTGGCTCCTGCAGGTGGGAAGTGATGACCACAGAGTCATCTGAGAATGAAGGGGGTTCCCTGGGGACAGAGGCTCAGCTTATGCTGGGAAGGAAGCCACTCGGAGGCTTGGGCGTGGACAAATGGTGGGGATGGACTTCCTGCAGTGCCTTTTCATGTCCCCCTAGGCCTCTTTTAGCTTTTGCAAAGTCCTTTAAAATCCTGTTCTGGGGCCAGTAGGACTGCAGGGAGTAAATCTGGGTAATTTAGGGGCAACAAGTGATGCTCTGGGGGAAGACACATCCTAGGGACCAAGGGGGAGACCTCTCCGAACTCTGCTTTCTCTGGAGCCGGGAGAGCTCGGGGCTCTCTCAGAGAGGGTGTCGCCCCTCTGCCTCCAACCCCACGCACCCTGCAGGCAGCCAGCTTCGTCACTCCCGTCCAGACAGTCCTGTTCCTGGTTGCAGCGCTTGATCGTAGGGACACAAGTCCCATCCCCACACTGGAACTCGTCCCCACGGCAGGTCCCCAGAGCTGCCAGGAGAGGGCAAAGAGGGAGGGTCAGGGCCAGTGTGGTGTTGGGACAGCTCTCCTCGCGCAGCCCCCAGCCCCAGCCCCTATCCACCCTCAGCAAGAACAGAACCAGTGGCTGAGCTTGGGAGTCCCCAGAGGACACCTGGCCAAGGCACTTCCAGTGTACAGATGGGGAGACTGAAGCTCAGAGAGGGGGAAGGCCTCACCCACGATCACACAGCACTCTGCCTGGCAGAGCCAGGACTGAAACTCAGGTCTCCTGTTTCCTCATCCACCGCCTCTCCCCAGGGCCACCTGCCCCCAACAGACCCATGGCCTTCTTTTGAGTGTTGGTGCTCATTACTTAATGACTCCATCCCTTCAGCAAACCCTTCCTGAGCGCCGTCTGCATGCCGGGCACTAGGTGGGACGTGGAGAACCCAGAGACTACTGGGGAGGCTCCCCATCCTCTAGGAGCTCAAGGGGCGGGAGGGAGGTTGAGGAATGAACAGATGACATCACAGCACAGGCTGTGCTGTAGGAGAGGGTGGCTCAGGGTAGCCCAGGGGGAGAGATCCAGCTCAGCTGGGAGGGTTGAGGCCATGAAGGACAAGCAGGCCCCGCAGGTAGGAAGGGCAGGGGCAACCCCTGAGCCTCTGGAGGTCTCTGGCACGGGGGCTAGCCGGTGAATGCCTGAAATGGGGAAGGGCAGGGGGTGGGAGGTAGGACAGGGAGGGCAGGACCAGAGAAGGCCCTGGGCCTCTGGGTTCAGACCTGAGCTGCGCAACTTAGGAGCCTGGGGACCTCCAACCGAGGGCTCCACCTTCCCCAAGCCCGCGTCCCACCGTAACCCAGGTAACCAGGGCGGCGGGGGCTTACGGCAGTCGGCCTCATCCGACTTGTCCTTGCAGTCGCGGTCGCCGTCGCAGCGCCAGCCCAGGTGCACGCACTCGCCGCTGCGGCAGGCGAACTGGGCGGCGGCGGCGCAGGCGGCGGGCGCGGCGGTGGCCCCGGGGCCCGCGCGGCCGCACAGCTCGGCCGCCTCGTCCGAGCGGTCCTCGCAGTCGAACTGGCGGTCGCAGACCCAGCGCTCGGGGATGCAGGCGCCGCCGCCGCCGCCGCAGCGGAACTCGCGGGGCCCGCAGGCCGGGTCGGCGCAGCCGCGCTCGTCGCTGCCGTCGCCGCAGTCGTCGTCGCCGTCGCACACGAACACGGCGGCCAGGCAGGAGCGGTTGCTGCACTGGAACTCGTGCGGGGCGCACACTGCGCGGGACAGAGAGCCGGTCGGCCCTGCTGCGGGGGCCCTGAGCCTGGCCCTCGGGCCGCAGGCGCCCTGCGGGGGGGGGGGGGAGCGGGGGGCTTCCGATCCGGCGCCATGCACGGGGACCTGGGGCGACGCGCCTGCCCCTCCCTGAGCCTCGCAGCCTCACTCGGAGCGAGCATTTCCGTCCCGCCGCGGCCAGCATTGCGGTGGGGCTGGGAGCGCTTCTGCGGCGGGGCGGGGCCTGTCTCCAAGGGCCTTGTGATGTTCCCAGGAAAGGATACCGGACGGGACACCGACCCTTCCCCGAGGCACGACGTCTGAGGCTGTTTCCTGAGGGCACGGCTCAGGCCCCTCCCCCATGTGCCCGCACCATCCCAGCTCAGTCCCCTGGTCTGGCATCCAAGGCCACTGGCACAGAGCCACTGTCCTACCCCAGCACCTCGGCCGCACACACCCTGGCCTCACCCATAATAGACCATGCGCCCACCTCCTCACCTCCAGGCCTTCACCCAAGCTCTTCCCTCTGCCCACCTCCTGTCTCCTCCTGCCCACCACTGTCTCTGCATTTCAGTGAGGAGTTCTCATCCTTCAGGGGCCCGAAGTCCACCTCTTTTGTAACACACTGTACGCGCTCCTACTTGGGAAGCCTCCCTCTCCCTCTGTTCTCTTTCTGTGTGCCCTTCACAGCATGCTCAAGTGTCTGGGTCTCATGTCCTGTTTCCATCACAACTACTGCCTGGGGACTGGCTCTGAGACTGACCCAGCTTCGACCGGAGGGCCTGGCACAGAGGTCCCTGCACAGGGCAGGTGTGGAGTGAATGGTGCTGGGCGAGTGGGGGTGTGCATGTGCAGTAGTTAAGGGCACATGTCACTGGCCCTGCCTGGGGCCCTGGGCTTCCTCTCTCTAGTGAGCTGCTCAGCTCAGAGGCTGGGAGGGCTTTGGAGACCACCAGCCCAACTGCTAGTTTATAGATGGGGAAACTGAGGCCCAGAGAGGAGCAACTTGCCCAGAGTCACACAGAACCAGAACTCAGGTTTGGGGCTCTTCCCTCCTACCCTGACCCCTCTCAGCTTTCTGGTTTGCTCCTCCTTTCCTGGAGTGTAGGCAGTTATCAGAGCAGTGACCTCCTTGTCTCCTCCCTGCTTCATTCCTTACGACGAGGCCATGGATAGGCCTGGGGGCTGCAGCCTTGGGTTAACGTGGTGGCGGCAGCGCCAGATCTCTCCACGTGGGGGCACCAAGAGTCTGTTTTTATTTTCTGATAGAAAAATGTCATTTTTCATTGTTATTGGACATAAAATAGAATGATGTCTTCAGTTTCACAATGTAGGCAGCTCATCATGTGTTGCTGACAGCTCTATCAAGTTTCTGACAGCTGCATTTCCCCCCCTTCTGGGCTTTTTGGGATGTTGGGGCACCGGTGGGGAAAGCATGCACTACCTTGTGATGTCTGCCCCTCAAGATTACGCAGATGCCTAGATTAGCTCCTCACTTTCCTGCCAGACTCAGCTTGCATGTGTCTGGGGGGAAGGACTCACTAAGTCACTTCCTTATACTGAGCTCTCCCTGAGGCTTTAAAGTTGACAATAGCTTCAAGAGCCATATTCTCAGGCCTGCATCCAGAGACCCCACTCCCAGCACTCCCAATTGGAAGCAGCTCTGTGGAGGGAGAGAAGGAAGAATTCTTTCTCTTCTGCCCAGGTGGTTGGGAGCTGTAGCAGAGACGTCCAGTAAGACCTTCGAACCACCCTCCCCTGTCTCCCATAATTAACAAGGAACATGCCTGTCACCACATGGCGTAGTTAGAGATACTGCCACCCCGTGCAATAGCAGCTGATGGCCCTTAGAGCTGAGGAAGCATCTGATTATGTGGGGGGGGCGGTAAGGAGGGAAGAGGATTCTCATTGGCCATCGAAGCCCCGCAAAATTATCACAGCTGAGGAAACAAGCCAGTGCCATCACTAGGGCTTTGAAACTGCCGGCCAGGATCTCCCCCCATACCCAGATGCTTCCTCCTTCAGGCACATCAGAACTCCAGACTTGGAATCTAGAGTGCTGTGTGACTCAGAAGCCTCCGGAGAGATGGCATTTCCCCTGGGCCAGGGAGGATGGATAGGATGTAAATATAGAGGCTGGAGAAGGGAGTGCGGTGGGAGGCAGTGGTGGGTGAGTAACTGGCAAAAGCCCACACAATACCCCATAATACCTCAAACCACCCATATCTCAGCCCAGCCTTGCAGCCTAGTTATCGACAGCCAGTCTGTCTCTCCTATTAATCATGAGCTCCCGGAGGAAGGAGCATGTAGGATTCACCACATCATCCCTTCCAGAGCCTGGCTCCAGGCCTGGCACACAGTAGGTATCCATCCAATTGCATAGCCCCACTGGCCCCGGACCTGCTGGCCTGCTCCCGGGGAAGGCGATAATCCTGTGTTTGAAGCTCAGTGATGTGGAACTGCCCCAGTGACCAGTTCCATCTGTTCCTGCTGAGGCTGCTGGGGATGTCTTCCCGCCCTGTGACTTTCGTGCTCAGGTCTGAGATTTCAGCATCGGACGTCCTTCACACTTCAGGAGTCTGCCCCTCCCCCCGCCCCCCAGCACCACCAGCACCCTGGCCCGGGAGGCCAACAATACTCCCAAGACCCGGCCCTGGCCCCCTGCCCTTGCTCGGGGGTTGGTGGAGACGGATGGAATGGATGAGCAGATGTCAGATATGGTAAAAATACTCCTGGGCTTGGCTGTCCAGAGCCGGATTTGAATCTCAGTTCCACCACTCAGCCTTGGGCACTTTTCCTCGCTTGTCTGAGCCTCAGTTTCCTCACCCATAAAATGGGGATGATAATGGCTGCTCGTGCGGTGGTTGTGAGGATGAAAGCAGGAAATGTCTCTCCGGAGCGCCTGGCCGTTACTAGTGTCCTGATCGTTACCCTTTGCTCTCCAGCCCCCGAGCCCCGAGAGAAGTCCCCTCCTGTAAGGGGCTACTGCTCCCCGAGGCTGCCTGACCACCCTGCAGACCCTGGGACCTAACCCGACTCACAGGTGGCACAGCCGGCCTCGTCTGCTCCGCTTTCGCAGTCCTTCTCCCCATCGCAGCGCCACGAGGCAGGCACACACTTGTGGCTGGCGGGTCCACAGCTCAGCTTCTCTGCAGGACACACCTGCTTGGCTGTGGAGACAGACGCAGGCGCATGGCTTAGCCAAGGGGGACATGGGGCATGGCGCCAACCAGTCCTCCCGCCTGACTCCAGCCACCCGGCCTGAGGCCCTGGGAATCCTTCAGGGCCTCCCTGCCCTGGGTCCCAGTTTCTTCATCTGAGAAGCAGCTGCTGTCTGCCCCTAAGACCCTCGGAATCCCACGTTCTCACCACTCCCTGCCTAACGCCCTTTCAAGGGCCCTTGGTCCCTGGCACTCAAGCCCCTCCTCGATCCAGCCACCCCTGTCTGCCTCACCAGCCCCACCTCCCACCCTCCAAACATCCCCTTTGAGCTCCAGCAACACAAAATTGCCATGCCCTGCATGCTTCTCTGCCATTTCCCCGCCGTGTGCCCTGGGGTGAAATACGCCCCAGTCGGACCTCGGTTTGGCACATCAGTGACTCCATGATCTGAACCTGTGGATGTGGAGGGCTCAGCAAGACCCCAGCAGCTGCCCAGGTACGCCCCGCCCCCTCCTGTCCCCTCCCCCAGTGATGGTAGAGAGCTGTGCTGTGCGTGCGGCAGGGCCCAGCGGGACCACACAGCTATAATTACTGCAGCAGCAATCAGAGGCTGACTCAATCAGGGGCCTGGAGCCCCAGGGCTGATTCTCAATTTGGAAGAAAGAATGAGATCCCTGATCAGGGCTGGGGACAGCTCTCATCCTGAGCATCCCAGGATGACCCACGTGACAGACCCAGCGGTGACAGACACACTTCAGACCTCTGTGGCTGGCTCCCTGCTACCTTCCAGGGTGTAAACTCAGTCGTCGCTCAGATGTGCCAGGCACAGGGCTAGATACTGAATCCGCACAACTGCCCAGCAGGATGAGGATTATGTCGAGGCCTCCAGCTTGGAGGTCGAGGGCAGGGGCTCTAGAACCCTGGGCTTCCTGGGCATGAATTTGGTCACTCACTGGCTGTGTGACCTTAAGTCAACAGTCCTCACCTTGGTGGCAACAGAGTGGGAATGATACTATTCCCTAAGTTAATGTCTGTAAGGCACTTAGAAGAACGCTCACCCCAGTGCTCACTCTCCACTGTAATTCTCCAAATGAACAGAGGAGGACTTGTTTATTCACTCAGTGAGTATCTGCTGAGTGCTGCTGGGTACCAGACCTGGCGGTAAGCACTGGGTGCTAGTCACACAGCTGCTCAGAACCGAGTGAGGACTCAGAGTCAGCTGTGTCTGACGCCACACACTTGGCACAGTCTGTTGCACCTGCCGGTGTGGGGGGGGTCACCCATGCCTCCCCCTCAATTTTGCCCCCTCATCTCAGACCAGTTTCCCCTTCTCTGACTTTCATAGATGGGCTGGCAGGGCACAAGAAATGGAGAAAAGGGGTAAGGTGGGGTAGGGGGCAGGTTTTGGAGGCAGGGCCCCCAAGACACTACTATGCCAAGAAAAAGAAGTACCTGGGACCCCAGAGTTCTCCCTAGGAATACATTTCGTGAAATAGGAGGCAACCCACTGGGAATGCAGGATTCATGGGATTCATTTTCTAGAAATTCCCCTTCACAAATAACTGTTGCATAAAGCCTTAGAGAGTGTGGACTCTCCAAGATCTTTTACAAAGGCTGCCTTGGGGCCATAGTGCAGGGTGGTGAAGGAGGTCTGGCTGCTTCCAGAGCCCCTCTATCACCCGCACACCACAGGACCCCTGGAAGCACGTGAGGGATCTGAAGCCGACCAGTGTTTCCCAGACTCCCGACTGCAGGGTGGGCTATGGGGGGGCTGCTGGAATGCAGGTTCCTGGGCCCAGCTCATAGTAGACTGCATCCAGACTTTGAGGGCACAGCCCAGGAATCTGCATTTCAGTAACTCCCCTCAACCCCTGCGTGATTCCCTTGCACCGCATCTGAGAATCACTGGGTTAACATTCTGCAAATCTAAAAGATACAGAATATTTCATCTCTTTCAAATTCACTCCCGTAAGAGTGATAGAGGCCTTCTGTGTGCCTTCAAGCTCCCGAGAGCAATGAGACAGAGGGACAAGGTGACCATCTATCCCTGAGCCAGGCCTCAGGAAATGGAACTTCATGGGGGAGTTGGAAGGAAGCCATATTTACTCAGCACCCACAGTGTGTCAGGCCACTCCATTTCCCATGTGGCCTGCAACCTCCCAGGTGAGCAGACCCTTCAAGGCTATACGTGCCAACTCCAGAGATCATCACAGCAGTGCCCCCAGAGCAGAGCAGGGTAGCAGTCCTTCAGGTAAGCACTGCATTTGACAGAGGAGGAAAAAGGCTCAGAGAGACCAAGGAACTGGTCCAAAGATGCACAGCAAGTGAGAGGCAGAGTCCAGGTTCCTCTGACTGAACCTGCCCTGCATGCTCCTGGGGGTAGAGAAGTAGCCTGAACCAGCCCCAAACTCTACACCCAAACGCCCAGGTGACTGAAATGGCCCTTGAGGGGCCTGGTTCTGCAGACCCCAGTGCAGCAGGCAGCTGCTTGAACTGTTAATGAATATTTATATAGTTAATTGCATAACCTTTCAGCAAGGACAATGATTAAACAATCTGTCTGCTTCCTTTCTTTATAATTAATAAGACATTTGCCATGTCCTTAAATAGACAGCTCTAATTACAGGCTCTGGAGGATTCAGCAATGCCTGACACCAGCCCTCCTACCCTCAAAGAGCCAAGGCACCGTCCTGGAAGGTGAGGACACAAGAGGTCACATCGAGGAGCACCCACTATAGTGAGAGGAGACAGAGGTCCAAAGAGGGGAAGGGACCGCCTAGGCTACTGGATGCCAGGTGTCCCAACCACCCCTCGCTCCTAGAACCTGACCATCTCTGCTGTCATATGGCTCTTCCCCAAAGCTAGAATGGGAACCTCACTTTGCAGGCTCCGGGGTCAGGCCTCCTCACTGCCTAGTCCTGGGGAGCTGGTCTGGGTAAGCGCTGATATGCAGGATCTCCTCATGAGGGAGGGGAGTGCTGTGACTACCTCCATTTTACAGACCAGGTGAGCCAGGCCCAGAGAGGGTAAGGTGTTTGCTTAAAGTCTTGTGGAGAGAGGCCGAGCTGGACTTCCAGCCCAGGTCTCTTATGTCCAAACACACTGCCTAACTTACCACACGTAACCACTGCCCGTGAGAAAAGCAGGCCTTGTTGGTGCCCCCGGCACCTCCACGCTGGAGAGGGTTTGCAAGAGGAAGGAGGCTCACTGGGCCTTTACTTAGGTAGGGTCTGCAACATGGCTGCCTGATGTCCACATTCAGGACAACTGAAGCCAAAGGCCCCCAGGCAGCACGACGCAGGAGAAAGAGCATGAATGAGTTTTGGAGCTGGGCACACTTGGGTCCAAACCCATTTACTAAGATGCAGGTCCTTCGGCCAGTCAATCTCTCTGCATCAAGACTCCATCCGAAAACGGGGCTACGTAATCTCCTAGAGTTGGTAGCTCATTTAAATGAAGAAACATGGAAAGCTCGACACTCAGAGCCTGGAACACATTCAGAGACCAGCTGCCGCCGTTTCATCTCACGAAATGCAAATATAAGGGGCTGGCAGGGCCCTGGTCTCGTTCCCCGGGGGTTCACGGGATCACAGTCCACAGGGCCCACCGTGATGGAGCCTCTCTCCGAGAAACACGCCCCGAGGAATGCCCTGGCCTATCAGGTGTCCCCGAGGTTCTGAGAGGCAGGCGTGAAGAAGCCTACCGTCTCTCAGACACCAGGAATCCTCCAGAGTTGGCAAGGGCCTGGAACGGCATGCCAGAGTGGCTGTAGGCATTATCAACTCCCAGAGAATCCTGCCCCAGAAATCCAATCCACTGGCGTTCTCTAATTTATAAGCTCACAAAATAATAAAAAGAAAAATGTCTGTTGAGTAAAAGAATGAGAGTGTCTGATGGCTGCTTAGTGAGTGAGCACATCTGCCGTGTCAGGACATGTGATGCTTAAGGGCAGACGACCTCCAGGTGGGGACGGCCAGCTCCAGGAGGGCCAGAGACTCAGGCGGCAGGGCTCCTTGTGTCCGGCTGCTGCCCAGGAAGCAGGGCATGGGGCCACCCCATCATGTGGGGGGGGCAGTCACACCCAGCTCCTTCCCATGGGCTCAGACGAAGTACTCCTAGCTAGTCAGCCTCTAACTTGCCTCTGGGCCTCAGAAAACCTCTGGGCCTCCACTTCCTTATCTACAGTAGGAAGGGGCACTTCGCTTGGTTCATCCGTAAGGTCCCCCAAGGTCCCCCTCCCAGTGGAAAGGTTCTGAGATGATGAATCAATTCCCATTTTCAATAAGCAGCACCTAAAGTTGCCACCCACTCACCTTGAACCAACCTCCCCTTCCCCACGCCGTAACCCTCCCACTGGATGCCTGAAGGTGGGTCAGAAGCCGTCCCCAATCAAGTAAGCTATAATTAGGACTGAAATGCCACTTTCATTAGGCAAATGTCCTAGGCTTTCCTACTGTGACTCCTGGCCGTATTTGATAGACACAAATCCCAGAACCAGAAGGAAAGAGAGCCTGGAGAAACTGCAGCTAGCCAGGGGCAGACGACACAGTGGGGGAGCACGAAAATGGGGATGTGCTCCCAAATCCCTTTCCCTCTCTATGTAGACCCCCTTCCTTATTCTAAAATGTTAAATTGCTGTATGTGGAGAGAGGGCCTGGAATCAAAATATAGTAATGAGTAACACTGCCATTTACTCCAGCACCGACACTTTGCCCCATTTTTTTCCATTTCGTCGTCGTAACCCCCACAGGGCAGGTTGCCATCACTGTATTTTACAGATGAGCAAACTGAGGCTCAGGGAGACTGGGCAACCAGGCTGAGGTCTCACAGGACCCGGACCCAAATATATCACACACCCAGTCCACTACACTTTACTACTGCCTGTAATCTTTCTTCGAGCTGGCATAGTCCCTAGGCCCCCGGTAGGCTATAGAGATGCACCTGGTAGACTGTGGGGGTTGCTATGGCAATACCAGTTAAATGGGCAGTGGGTTGGCTAGCAGGTTCCCATTTGGTGGGGAAGCAGTGAGTCAGCCTGCCTCCAGCTCCTGCCGCCCCAAATTCTGCCTGACCCTTGAGGTCCCACTCCGGCCCGCCTCCTCCAGGCCTACCCACAGGCCATGCCCACCTCTGACCAATATGACTTTGCACAGGAAGTGGGATCCTGGGCTTTGTGCCCCAGCTGGGAGAAAGAGGGTCCTAAGAATCCAGGAATCTTAGATGGTGGTCTTTGGAATTCTGAGATGTTACAAACTGGGGCCCAGACAGGGATGGGAAAGTGTGCAGGATCTCACGGCAAATTCACTGGGACAGCCCAGAGGAGGGCTGGGCCTCCTGACTCTCAGGGTGCAGCCTGGAGTCCTGTTCCCACGGGCACCCCGTCAAGCCTCAGAGAGAGCCTGACGAGCCCGTCTTTTATCACAGAAGGCCGACCAGCCACAAACCACCTGTGTGTCTTGGAAGCAAGGCCCTCGACTTCTCCAGTCATTCAACCGTCAAATAACAGTGCCTTACAGAGGGTACCAAGCAGGTCTGGGAGGCGGGAGGGGTGAGGCTGGAAGGGCCCTGCACTCGCCAGGGGATGGGAAGGCAGCAACTGCTAGGACAAGCGAGAGGGAGAAAGACAGAGGGAACCATGGGGCAGGGCACGGCGGGGAGGGATGGCAAGGGGGCGGCTGTCCAAGAGAGCAGGGTGGGCAGGACCCTGGAGCTGGGGCAGGGAAGATGAAAAGGGACATCGACACAATGAGACAGAGACACGGGGAGAAGGCGGAGCCCAGCTCTCCGGCAGCAGGACAGACCCCAGTAATAACTGTGCTGAGGCTCCCCTCGTTTCCCTGTTGCCCCCAGGGCCCAGGGCTGAGAGTGGGGCCGGGACAGCCCAGCTGGCTGACTGCAGCGCCCCCAGCACAGCCCCTGGTGGCCGTAGCCCCCTCCCCAAACACACACTCCTGGCTATACACAGCTCTACCCCTCCTTAGCGGGGCAGCCTCGGGCAAGTGGCCAAACCCACCCTGGCCTCAGTTTCCTTCTCTTTAAACAGGGATCCAAGCCGGCCCTGAGGATGAGAAGCACAGCGGGCGTGGCTGGGCTTTGTGCCTTCTGCAGCCCACGACAAAGCTCTGGACCCAGCCCCAGGACAGGTTGGCTGCCTGGGGGGTAAGGAAAGGACAGGGCCTGTGGCCTGGCCAGGAGAGGCAGAGGCAGCTGTGCAAGGAGACAAGGGGGCCTCCTGTCTCGGGCTGGGGTCGCTCTTGCTCTCCCTTTCTCTCCCCCTCTCTCTCTCTCACGGGGAGACTGGTAGCTCTGTTGCTAGGAGACAAAGAAACCCAGTTATCACCAGCCACAGCCCTGGATGGGCCGCGGGCCTCCATTGTCCCCGCCTCTGCCTCTGGGGCGAATGGGACCCCTAACGAGGACGGGGATTGTGACTCGCGGGTCCGCACCAGCCCTCCCGTCCTCCACGTGCTCCCCACCAACCTTTTGTCTCAGTCTCACTCAGCTGAGGCTCTGCCTCAGGACCGCTGGGGCCTTCCCCGCCCCCTTCTCATCTCCTTTTTAATTTAACAAATGTCACGGAATGACCTGCCGGGTGTAAGTTTGCTTTGAGGATTAGGGCCTGGAAAAGAAATCAAGGAGAGACAAAGCCCTGAGTGTGGGAGGCGGGCCTGGGGCTCTGGCTCGGGCCCTCGGCCTCACCCCAGGCTGCCTCTGTTGCCATCCGTCCTGCCGTGGATGCTGGGGCTCCTGGGCTCAGAGTGCTGGCTGGGTGGCCTTGGGCAAGTTACTCAACCTCTCTGAGCCTCAGTGTTCTCCTTCGCAAAGTTCAGAAAGTGAACCCTCCTAAGGCTGCCTTGGGAAGATGAATCGGTGCACGCAGAGAGGCTAGCACTGTGTCTGGCCCACGGTGAACACTTAATAGGCACTCACTGTTAGCAGTACTCCTAGAATTATGATCAGAGTCCTCCAGAAAAATGGTGGGGGAGGCTGTGGGGAGTCCCGGAGGCTACGCTCTGGCTGCTTCTGGTTAGAAGGCCTGTTTCTAGCTCCTGGTACTCCAGGAGCAGGGCCCGAGCTGCAAGAGGCCTGTGAGGGAGTCAGCAGAAACCAGTACCGGCTAATACTCCTGGCCATTGGCCGGGAGCCCCCGACGGTGCGCCACAAGGCAGGTATGGAGCTGTGTCTGACAGATCAACTCCACTGAGCCTCCCAGCCTCCCAACAAGGAGGAGCTGACGAGGAAGCTGCGTGCCCGCCCCCTTCCCCCCACCCCACCAGCCCTAGCACCAGGACTCACTGCACGTGGTCTCAGACTCATCAGAGCCGTCGGGACACTCCTCCTCGCCGTCACACTTCCACCGCTCCGGGATGCAGTGGCCGTTGCCACAGGTGAAGTCGCTGTCTGCACAGGTCTTCTTGGCTATGGGGCAAGGAGAAGAGCGTGAGGGGGCTTGGTGGGCCCAGGAGGCTCTTCTAGGATACGGTCAGGTGGCTCTCGGGTGACCAGGATGTGCGCTGTCTGAAAGTAGGACCACACCACCTCCCACCACCCTACTGGGCCACGGAGGGCCTCGCCAACCAAGAGAGGACAGGAGAGACTCCCTTATTCATTCCTCAGGCATCTGCTGAGCATCGGCTGGAGACAGGTGACACCTGGCCCTGCCTCCAAGTTCAGGAGCTCAGGTCCAACAAAGGTACCAGGATCCATGCTCCAAGGGACTGCCTGTTCTCCTGTCTTACTCCTCTTCCCCCAAAGTCCAGTTCCACTGCCACCGCCCCCAGGAAGCCTTCCCTGATCACCTACGGCAGGTACTTTAGCCCCTCTGGCCAGTTCTCAGCCCCTTTACTGGCCTGTCCTGCTCCGCCTAACCAGGCCCTTCCGGAAGCACCAGGGAGCTGCTGCTAGTGAATCCTAAAAGCAAATGATTACTCTGAGACAAGATTAATGAGGTATGTTCTGTTTGGAGTGATGAAAAGAGCATCTCCTGGGTGAGACACCCAATCAGTCTCCCGAGAGAAAGTGCTCTCGAGGCACTCACACCCTGGAAGGGAGGCTCCTCGGGGGGGCTCTGAATCCCAGCTCTGCCTCTTTCGGTCTGCGTGACCATGGGGGTGTTACTTAACCACCGAGCCTCTGTTTTCTTATCTATATAACGGGAAGAAGAAAACAAGGGCACTGAGGAGGAATAACAAGTCACAGCGCATGAAGAACATGGAAAGAGGTCCTGGCACTGAAGATGCGGTCAGCAAGAGCTACTGCTGTTTTTATGGTTTGAGCCTTAGTTAGAAGCAAAGGAAACAGGGGACATATATAGCAGACTGAGATCTCACAGCTGGTAACAAAACTGGGGTAATAGGGCAGGGGCCAACATGGCTTGCCTTTCTCCCTGTCCCTCCACTGGCCTGATGCTCCTCCGGGTAGGGACTCTGTCAGATTCAGCACAGGGCCCAACTCAGGGTGGATCTCAGTGGGGACACTGGACCAAATGGGGGCATGGCTGCCCAGCCTCTGTTCCTACACCTCCAGGGCTGGGCTCAGCTTCTCCCAGGGAAGCTTCTTCCCGGTGGCCAGCCTTGGATTATGTAATTCCTCCCACAGGCTTTCTGGCTGCCTCAGGGACCATGTGACTGCTCCCCCTGGCCTGAACAGCCAGGCTGGGATTTGAGGACAGACACTGGGTCTCCTGAATCCATTATATTTCTGCCTTTCAGTGGAATCCTTGCAGGACATCTGTGTTCTAAGGTGAGTTTTCTTCACACTTTCTTTAGAAGAACACCTCTGTCTGTGCAGGGTTAGAGGAAATGAGAGGAATCCGTCTACCCATAGATTTGGTGGGGGAGGGGGGCTCTGAGGCCCAGAGAGGGAACAGGGCTGGCCCAGGGAAACACAGCAAGGCAGGGATCAGAACAATTTTTCCTGCCTCCCAGCCCAGGCCCCCAAGCAGCCCTCCCTGAGCTACGCACCCAGGAGCTGGTGTGGGTAATAGATACCAATACCGCCTTTTGGTAAGTCACCGCCTATAATCGTCTGAAAGTAAGTACAGTTATAAACCATAGCACCTGGGGCATTTTCTAACATGAGGACCAGAGCATCCCTTCCACAAGAAGCTCGGCGCCCACAGAAAAGAGGAAATGCATATCCTAACGTCTTCTTTATCCAGTTCTAACTTTCTCCAAGCACATTCTGTGTGCCATGACAAAGGGCCATGCATGTCCCCACTTGACACACAAGGAAATCCCGGCCCAGAAGTGTTAAGTACGTGTCTAAGGTCAGATGTGGGTGGCAGCAGGGCCACAATTTGACATCACAGTCAGAACCCTCTGTCCCCCCCCCCCACGGCTCCCCAGATAAAACTTTCAGCAGCATCAGATGTGGAAGAAAAGCCTCAAATGAGGTGAGAAAATCCCGCAGGAGCTTCATTTCAGCATTCAGTGAGCTTGCATCTGTGCCTCGCTCTGCACTGAGCACATGGAAGAGAAATCAGCCCGACCTGCCCCCTAGGAACTCAAGGTGAGTGATGAACAGGCAGAACCCAAAAGAGCAAGGTAAGCCTGACGAAGGAGATGAAGGGGCTCTGTCCCTGGTCTCAGCCAGCCAGACACTATCAAAAGACCCTTTCCTCCCTGGCATTCTGGGAGCCTGGGAGTGATCTTGGCCTCCCCCAGTGTGCCAAGCCCTGTAGGCACCAGGCAAGGAGGCCAGGGAAGCCAAAAGCACCTTCGCAGTCCTGAAGGGCAGCCTCCTGATGGATGTTCCACGGCAGTGTTCTGGAGAAGAGATTTGTTCCCTGTCATGACCGGTTTCGACATTTTCCACCCTGGCTCTGGCCTGGCACCTTTCACCCAGTATCCCAGTTGACTCCTGACATCGGCAATCTTATAGAAGAGGAAGCTGAGGGTGGTAGGTGGCAGAAGTGGGATTTTGATTCCATGTGGCAGCTGCCAAAGCTTGGGCTCTTCCCACTAAGGCCCTCAGCTACTTCCGTATTATCAGGCTAAGACGACCCCAGAAAAGCAAATGCAGTGTGACCAGTGAAATAGCTCTCAGGTCCCCACAGGACAAGGCAATGGGGCAGATCAGCCACATCGCTCAGAAGTACCACATGAAGTATTCCCCCTGGAATGTGCCCAGAAGTGGGTGCCAGAATAAACATGGGCCTGTGACAACCTGTCTCTGCTAATGGACCACTCTGGGGAAACTGAGGCGGCATGCTCACTTTCAGGTTGGGGACCATGACTCAATCACCTTAGTGGGCCATGTCTGAGAATGGAACCCCATGGAAAGATTTGGAGCAAGAGGTGAGACTGAATGCTGGCACAGCCACCTCCTCTCTGGGTGACCTTGGGCAAGTTCCTTCCCTCTCTGGGCAAGCGGGGATGATGGCTTTCCCGTGCAGCGCCAGTATAAGGACAAAAGGCAAAAGGGCTCTCGCAAGGGATCCCAGTGAGCATCTCCGTGTTGAGTCGGTCAGTGTAATGAGCCTGACAGAGGCATGAGGCTACATCAGCCCCGCCCAGGCATGAGGGCTGAGCAGTCTTTCAAGCCCATCAGAGCCAGCCATGCCAGACCCCATTCCTGGCCTTGGCTCCAACTCCCAGAGTGATTCCCTAGCTGGGCTCGAGGCCGTGGCCCCCTGTTTCCAGGGATTTATTTCCTTCCATGCCAGTCTGCCCCTTGGACAATGCCCACCTCTGTGAGCCCCTGTACTCCACAGCCCAGGAGCTGTGCATAGTCATCCAGGGTCTGCGACATCATAATCTGGTACCATGGCAACAGATGGGCTGCCATGAAGGATTTGGGATTCCAGAGGGTGGTGGGGAGGAGCCTACCCCTGGGCAGAGTCGGGGAGAATGGGAAATCCCGGACAAAGGAGGTAGGCGTTGCCACTTAAAACAAGAACACCGGCAGAGGAAAGCATCAGAGACTCCATGGTCAAACTCTGCTCTGCCACATATGGGCTGTGTGACCTTTTGCAAGTTACACAACTTCTCTGAGCCTCACTTTCTTCACCTACATTCAGAGATCATATTGCTGCTTCGCCAAACACACAAGGTTGTGGGAAGCGAATGGGCTAAGGATTGTGTCGGGGCTTTATAAACTGAAAAGCATAAAAGTGCAAGTATGAGGCGGGTGAAGTCAGCAGCCCCAGTCGCTGTGCGTGTGACCTTGGGCCCACCCGTCACATAGGGCCTACCTCCTCATTTGGAGACAGAGGTGTGGTGCCGACTGAATCTTAAGTCCCACTCAACACCCAGAGTCTATGATCTCGTGAAATTATTATGATCACTCAGCACCTCCCAGCTTCTCCACCCCCAGAGGCCTCCTTCCCTGAGACAATACGCATCCTTCATGCTGCTTTTTCCCCACCCACGCTCATCCAGCAGCCCCAGGGCAGACAGAGGGCTTCAAAACAAAGATCAGTCAGGGCTGCCAGGTGGAGCTGCCTGGTGTGGGTTCCTCTTGGCAATCAGAGCTCTCTCATGTCAGAGCCCAGGGGCTTGAAGGCCCCTAGGCAGCTCTCCCACTCCGCCAGCCAGAGCACCAGGGGCCAGAGAGAACGGCTATTCAGTCCCAGCACATATCTGTGGGAGGGCTGCCCCTTGCGCCCTGATATTCTGACTCAGTCCCACTGTGTGGCCAGGAAGCCAGGGGAGGGTCACCTGACCCGGCCCAGGAAATCAAGGAAGGCTTCCTGAAGGAGGGGACCACGTTCAAGGAAGAGGAGTCAGCCAAACCGTGGGAGGGATGAGAGCGACAAAGGGCATTCCGAGAAGGGATAACAGGGCCTGGGGTGGGGAGGAGCCAGCAGAATGGCAATTTGGAGCTGGGGAGGAGGCAAGTGGCAAGGGACCTGGGAGCTCCACTGGGCTGGCGGCCAACTGACCTTGCCTGGTACCAATGGGAGGCCCCCTTTCCCTGAGCTCACCCAGCCTCTGCTAAGCTCAGGGGCTGCTGCTTAACAGCCAACAAAACCCACATCTCTGAGCTGCCTGGGCTTTTTTCAGGATTTGGTGAGACTGTGTGAGATGGATGATTGGCCCCTAGCAGAGAAAGAGAGAGACAATGGGTAGGACAGAGAGCAAGGGTAGCCATCCCCACAGAGGTTTCAGATAAGTCTTGCTATTTTCCTCCTTTGTAGATTCATGATGCCCATTGGCTTACAAAAGGTCCTGAGAAAGCCTGCAAATACCAGATTGACTTTGTTTCTTCCAGCACTTCCCACACCTGTTTAGCCAAGAAACTTCCTTGTTAGATGCCATGTCTATTAATTTCCCAAGAAACAAGTGGGCCAATGAACCACATCTGAGGAAATACGTTGTCGTGGAAGTCCCTCATCCTGCAGATTAGAAGACGAGGCCCAGGGAGGGGAAAGACTGGCCTGTGATCACACAGCCGAAGCTGGTACCCAGTCTTCTGTC